AACGATGTTCAAGCAGAGTTGCAAAAAAGCTGCGAGCAGGCGGGCATTGCCCGCGAGGAAGGTTTACCATAGGTGAGGTCAGTGAGGAAGGTTTAGTGGCCAATGGTTGCTAACACCAAAAGAGTAAAACAAATAAATCATGGTTGAATAAGGCAGTTGAGGCTGATAAGTTGTGGTGGCACTATTGTGATATAGTACCTATACCAGATGATGACTATAACATTGGAGAATACTGAGAAGACAAATAACTGAAAATATTCTGTAAAATTAAAATGTGTAAGTGTCAAGCATCAGAGGTGCCTTAGGCCACATAAAATAACTTGCTGGATTCTCATCACCGCCCAACTGTATTTTAAGAGGCGTGTTAAAATTTTTTATATTTTGTTATACAATATAAATGTACCGCCCGACAAAATATTTCAAGACAGTTAAATTAAGGTATTTTATATTGGGGTTTTAGTGCCATTTTAAACTGCCAATTCAAACAAACAGAAAGTTGAAAGAAATTTCATTGCATTTTACAGGAACTTCGCATTTAGTTCAAGGAGATATGTTGGAAATGACAGAAATGTGTACTGTAATATGTTTATTTTGGTTTTGAAAGAATGAATGAAGGGAAAGTACAAAACATGGACCCCCGGTCCATGGACCCCTTGTCTGGACCGGGTCCATGGACCCCCTCTATGGACCAGGTCCATGGACCTGCGATTGCTCAATGGCCCCATCTATGAATGAATGTTAACAGGAATTTTGAATACACCTGAATATAAACAACCCTGTACAAGGAGAAAACAAATTTACTTGCAAGGTCAAAATGTTCTATTAATTTGTTCCAAATAGCACTTATATATCCAGCTAGCTAGTGCGCGCACAGCTCACAAAAATGTATTAATCGAAGCAAATCAAATTGCTGATTATGAACAGTGCCATAAGAGACGAATTGAAACACTTTTTTGTATATTGAACCAAGAAGGCCAATTAAGATGCACAATCAATGAAAGTGGTTTATTATTTCAACACTTTGCTGGCAGTGGTTTCTTTAATTTCATAGGCTGTGATCATTGACCAGTTTTGCAAGTCAGTAACACTATTATTATTCACATGGTGTATTGATTTGTCATGATATATGTCGTTAGCAAGCCTCGCTTTAGTATGAAGAAAACACTGGAGTGTAGATGAGGTTTGCTGCTAAGAACAAAAGTATGCTAATTAAAACCACTAAAATATTTTTAAAAATTGAAAACTCGAATCATGTTTAACAGTAATATTGAAATATGGAAAAATGCGGCCCATGGAGGGGGTCCATGGACCCGGTCCATGGAGGGGGTCCATGGACCCAGTCCATAGAGGGGGTCCATGGACCCGGTCCAGACAAGGGGTCCATGGACCAGGGGTCCATGTTTTGTACTTTCCCATGAATGAATGATAAGAATATTTATTCAGGAAACCAACATCACAAGAAGTGTTTTTCAGATGGTTCCTGCAAAACATTAAAATACAAAGTATAGAAAATATATATAGTGTGCTTGCAGTATTTACATATTGGTATATATGGATATATATGATATACCAGAAAAATTATGAGACTATAGGATACATGATGCTATACATATTTACAAGGATACAAAGAGTTAGTAAGTTATATTTTAAATAGTTATGAGTATTATGAAGATAGAAATTTAAGAAGTTCATTCCTAAAGGTTCCTAATTGTTCAATGGATCTAGTATTATAGTTCAAATCGTTGTACTCTTTACAAGCCTGGTAAAGCAGTTTTTGCTTTCCCCAGGTTGTCTTCGGCTTACAGAGGTATATATCATCTCTGCGTCTTGTGTTATATAAATGATTAGTTTTAGGCAGTTTGAGATTAAACTCTGTTAAATTATTTTTTAATTTATATATGGTTAGTATTCGGTGTAGTTTGTGTCGGTGGGCAAAAATGAAATAAACCATCAATGTTGTAGCAACTAAATATTGTAATAATTATATAAATAATGGCCTTATAAACAAAGTTGAGGAAGAAATTTTAGCATGTGTGATGTGAGTTGGACAAAAAAAGTACAGCTTAATCACTGAGTTGTGTAGCTGTCATACATATTTAATACAGATCAACAGAATATATTGAGGTCCTATAATCGAAATCATTATTTACATGCCTGATACCTACACTGTCAATTCCCACAAACTATATAAGTATATTGCAGGATTGGCAGCATCTGGTATAGAGATATATTGCAATTGCCATTGATTTTCAACCACTCCAAACATTGCCATAAACTGTCATGCAGAGCACTATACGGCTTGGTTTAAATTTAGCACTTTGCCTCAGAAACAAGTGAGAGCATTCGCTGCCTCACTGATTGTGAAATTGGGCAATTGGGTCACACGTCTGAAGACCTAAACACTCTCAAATGCCTTTCAAAACCACAAGTACAGTAATATCATTTTTTAATATTATTTTATATTCAATATATGATATAGGATGTAGACGTAGTAGGTAAGGACTGTCCAATTTGTCCAAAGTATAAATCTATTATGGCAAATTTATATATTAGAATCGTGTACTGTGTGTTATGCTTTCAGAATCAGTTAAGTTTATATACTCTAGTATATTGCTATTTGATGAAGCCATATCTATTTAATTTATTTTGAGGAAGGTTTGAAAACTTTAAATTTTACCCAGAGGAAATTTGAACATGTTTTGCAACTCTGCCGGACGTTGTATCTCAGTTTGGTATCCATCCGGAATTTTGCAGAAAACCCAAAATTCATATGCTCTACATATGTTTGACCATATGGTGGAGTTTGGTCCAGCAATTGGGTTTTCCACTGAAAGGTGACTTCAAATTGCTTCATCTATATTTGTAAGGTAACAAGGCAACATAGATTTTTTTTTTATTATTTATTACCTTTCAATTTGTTTTATTCTAGATTCGAAGCTTTTCAATTCAGTGATACGGCAAATGAATATTTATTCTAGCCGGCAAGCTTGCAGCAAAGATATTGCCCCGACGTTTGCCAAACACAAACTTCTTCAATTCATTTTGAATGGTGGTTGTTGGGGCGAAGGGCATAGGTAATAATTAAAGTAGAATTTACAGAAGTGAACATAATTAAAATAAAATTGTCACACAGCCAAAAATTTTGAGCCTGCACAGTAAATACAAGATTGAATGAACAATGCTGTGCTGCATTGCATGCCCGCATTGTTCATATAAGTTGTCACAATTATATTAAACAATGTTGTTTTCAAGCCTGGACCAGGTGTAACAATGCTGAACCAAATTGTTGATAAATATGGACAATATGGGCAGCACAAACTTGTTTCAATCCTGGTTTTATCAACAATACAATTTGACAATTTATGCTAACAAACTAGTACTTACAGGCAAAGTGCATCTGAACACTTACAGCAACTCGGCAGGAACAACAAACTGGTGAAGTTCATGTATGAAGATTGTGTTAAAACAAACAGTGATAGAGAGATTTACCAATCTGGATCACCTAGACTGGTATGAATATTAGATAGATTTAAAATATTGTTTAGTATTACCCATTAAAAATCAATTGACTCGGCAGGTGATGAACATGTAGCAATATTACAGTATACCACCCACACATACCTACGGTTTTACTATTATATTGTTAGGGGAAATATGCAAATGGTCGTCTGCAAACGTTTGAAGTTGGCTCGTTGTTGAAAGCTGCTATTGAGAGAGACATGGGTGGCAGTCTACAGGAAAAGTGCCATTATTATCAGGGCTGCATCTCCAGTAATAAAAAGCTGATACATATATCAGGATAAGAATGGTCAAGTAAAATTAAGGTTGCAGAACTCATCAGTACTATCCCAAATAATCCTTTTTCATGAATAGCAGATCTGGGAGCAACTGCATGATCTTTCATTTTTCTAAAACAGACAGTGGTAAAGATTCCCTACTTCATCAATTTGAAAAAATATAGATATACAGCACCTTTTCCCCCAACATTTTTTTTTATAGATGTGTGTTGGTCTATTTGATGGTGCAGTCAAAATGTTGAATGTCAGCAGGAATAATAAAACCATGGTGCAAGTTATCTGCTTCAGAATTTCCACTGATGACAGTGGAGATATTCAATATGGTCCAGTGTCAATGTCCAGTCCTTGTAAAGACAACCTATAAAGAAATAATACCATCAAGTTCTATGAAGCAGCGCGTCCATCTTGTGCATGACTGTTTATCCGGAGAATGTGGTTTCGAGGAATCAAATCATGATGTGGTCGAAGAACGAGAAGTGATAAATTTGCAGCGAGTCTGTTGTCATCGCCATTGCGACAGGTCTGTCGACATCAAATTGCAGCGAGTCTGTTGTCGTGCTGATGCGGGCAAGTATCGTCAAGCCGCAACAAGCCGAGCAAATGCATCTGATAGGGGGCTTGGTGGCAACAATTCATGTGCAGCCTGATGACAGACTTGCTGCAAGTTGCGCGAACTTGGCCGTGTATTGTTGTGAGTGCAGATATTTGACAATTATTCGCCAAAGGCAAAGTGATTATCAGGGAATATTCGCCGAGACAAAGTCGAGGTGAATATTCCCCGATAATCACCTCCCCTTCGGCGAATAACTGTTTTAGTATTTTTGCAAAAGTCTTTTGGGACTGAATTTATTCCAATTTTGCTTATTTCTTTTTCAGTAACTTCCACAAAACGGCTAGCCAATCAATGTGTAGGATTTGTTATGATCACTTGTGCAAAAATACTAAGATTAAATATCAATTTTTGAGTGACACCAATAAACAAAATGCAATGCAGTATAAACATGCCATTTTGTAGCTCACTGGCAGAATACAAAATCAACAAACGTTTATATCCTTTTTATTTATTGTGAACAGTAAATAAAATATAACTCACCTTGAATACAACACTTGAAGTTACATTTATAATACAGGGTGAATTTACTCCATCGATTTTCATTAGAAGTTCAGCGCTGTTTGGCAAAATACAAATTCGCCGATTTGACAACGAATTCATAAAGCTGAAGTGACAAAAATAACCCTCCATCTTCAATAGTGGTAAGCCGGCAATTTTAAGCTGTAATGGATATTGTGTATCAATGCAATGAAGGTATGACATAGTCAAATCTTGAAAAATCTCCACTTGACTTTCATGTTCGCCCAAAGCGTCGATCTTTGAAAATGACACTTCGCCTGCTGGCACGTTTGATAATATAGTGTGGCGCAAAGCATGATGGTATAAGCAGTCAGTCCTCCTTTGAGTTGCACTTGGCATTCAAAGTTAACTCAATTCAATCCGCCAATATTAATTTCCGACGTATATGACGGGAAGATTAAATATGAAAGAACTCCACGAGTATTTGCAGTAGAAATACGAAAATACCACCAAAAAGTTCCGCGTGATCGAAATTATATATTCCGAAATATTCGTATAATTTTATTGTTTCTCGCTCAATTTCAAGCAAATTTCTTGCCTTGAAATGATCAATGCAGTGAAATTTATGCAAATGATGCATTACCAATTTTGCTGCTGCATTTTGAATGTCCTGCCTGATTCAAATGCCTGTATCTTTGCTTCCTTTTATCGTATAATAACACAGGGGTGGAAAAAGTATCGGTTCCCAGAAATTTTTTTGCGTTGAGAGTTTTGCAGAAAATTTTCCAGAAAATATTTCAACATTTTGAAATAACTCTGTTTACTCAGCTTACAAGTTACAACTATTCTACTTTATTTACACTGTACATGCTAACATCAGCAGCTTTTAAATATTTGACAGAAATTAATTCTTTTACCCACCCCTGCCATCACAATGGCTGGTAAAATGGTAAATATATGCTCTGCAAAGTCTCCAATAAAATGAAAATTAAAAGTAAACGAATAACAGTGATGGAATAAATAAGATGATAGGACAGTTAAGATCCTTACTATGATGTTTGTGATGTATTCTGAGTGTGTATCCACACGGGCAAGCTTGAAAAATATGCCTGGCCATGGTGGGAATCAAACCTACGACCTTTGGAATACTAGCCCAATGCTCTGCCAGCTGAGCTACGCGGTCAGGTCGGTTCGAGTATCTGATATTTTGGAACTGAGTTTAGTTCCTTTGACATCAATGTAATCTAAAAAATTTTTGTGTTGGTGTTGTGTACTCAGGTGAATATGATGTTTGTGATGTTACTCTGAGTGTGTATCCACACTGGGCAAGCTTGAAAAATATGCCTGGCCACGGTGGGAATCGAACCTATATGACCTTTGGAATACTAGATTACATTGATGTCGAAGGAACTAAACTCAGTTCCAAAATATCACATACTTGAACCAACTTGACCACGTAGCTCAGTTGGCAGAACATTGGGCTAGTAATCCAAATGTCGTAGGTTCGATTCCCATCGTGGCCAGGCATATTTTTCAAATTTGCCTGGTGTGGATATACACTCAGAGTAACATCACAAACATACTCACCTTAGTACATAACACCAACACAGAAAAAATCAAGATCCTTACTAGTTGGTCATAACTCATAACTGTTGTGGTATATAACAGACAACTATTGTGATGTACAAGCGTACGAAAACCAACCTAAAGCCCATTATTACTAAAGTACAAATAATACAATAATTATGCATTTGTTTTGTTATATTTGTAATTGTAACATTACAAATTTTACAGAAAATTTCTGGCCTTCAACCCAGGTTCCCAGAAAGAAAAAAAAAATTTTCCACCCCTGAATAAATCGCCACCTTTCATTCTATAGCTCGGAGCAGTCTCTGGAAATTGCAAAATAACCTATGCCTAGTATGGCGATTCTTGTGGTCGGAAAGTGTTCGGCCAACTTCGGACGCCAAATTCTTGGTAAAGCATTACAGTTTCCTTGTAAAAGACTGCAGAAATCACTTCCGGAGTGTTTGTTTACACTAGATACGGATTTTGATTGGCTTAGGCAGAAAAACAAACCTTTTAGAGCAATTTTCCTGATTATCGCGCACAAGCGTTGTAATGTATTGTGTTGTATAATACAATTAAATTGTATTGTTTGAATTGCATGCTCAAGACGTTCTTGGGCTTATTTTGCAAACTGATAGTGCTAGTAATGACGGAATGTCTTCGTACGAAGACAAGTATCTCAACCTGGCATTGGGAGTCGTGTCTGGAGTTTCAAGGCAAGTATTTTGATCATTTTTACACATAGCCTGCGAACAGGCTCTCAAGCTGAATTGAGAGCCTGCATCGATGACTAACGAATTTGAATATCTGCCCCGTAACGTTCGTTTTTCCAAATATGGAATGTCTATCCTTATATGGTGTTGTTTACAACTTTCGTGCAAACTAAATTTAGGACCGTACAGTTTATACTGTTTTCCGAAATATAAGATATTCAAGCAAAAGTTCAAATGTTTTAAATACTGTTTTCTCAAAACAGAACATTTTGTGCTTTGAGATAAGATGGCCAAGACCAATTTGATCAGTTAATGTGTTTTTTATGCATAGTGCTTCAGCAGTTGACATATATAGAGCTCAGCGGAAACATATAAATTATAGCATCTGACCAATGAGAATTTCACGTCACGATTTGAGACGCAGATATTCAAATTCACTAGTTATCGATGCAGGCTCTCAATTCAGCTTGAGAGCCTGTTCGCAGGCTATTTTTGACATGCCATTTCAATGTTTTGCCGTTGCCATGGCATTGTAAATTGATTTGTATTTAGTATAGCTTCACTAGAACGACCAAGTATGTCCTCATATCGCATTTCTGTGTTGAAATAATCCTTCCATACAGACATTGACAAGTATAAATGGTATTTATTTATATTGTTGGCGAAACGTTATGGTGTTTTAGGCATAAAGAACTCTGATTCCTAGGCAAAGTAAAATGAGCCTTGAGCACATGTTTGGTTGTTTGTTACATACATAATAGACCAAGTATTCATACTTATTTATATCTTACTAGTTTGGCTCTTATTATAATTTCAAGTGGCACCATATAGATTATGTCTATAAAAGGTTTTTATTTCTAGTGACGAAGATATTGACCCTGTTCCTAGCTGGTGTTCCTGTTTCATAGCCACAGGAAAGTAGCAGTTCTGAGAGTCATGAGAACCCCACTCCCCAACCCCCATTAGGAAAACGTGTAAGTGTAGAGGGAAGCCCAGCCACTAGGACCCAAGGTTTTGAAAGCTCCCTGTCTAGCACCCCCACTCGGCTCCACAATACGTGACAGATATGGTGATCCTGACACTAGGAATATTATCCCAGATTTTGCCTCTCACCAGCATGTCTGTGATCTTTTTCAATTGAGCTTTCATGAGCTTGAGTTAATTCGGCTCTTTTTTACTAAGGGAATGCTTCAGGAGGTAGTTTCTTGGCCATACCAAAACATATGCCCACATACAAATAACCCAAAAATGATCCCCATATACTAATAAAGAAGGGTCTTGGAGTCCACCAACCTTGAGGAGATTCAGAGGTTGATTGTCTTTTTAGTATATGCAGGTTTGGTGAGATTGAAAATGAGATTGAAAATTATTGCATAGTGATATTGAAAATTATTGGAATGTAATAACCTTATATCATGGTCTGTGGGCAATAGAAATAATTTCTCGGTTTAGGTACAAAGTGCTGTAAAGCAAAGTTTCTGAATATGGTAGATCCTGTCACTGAAGACTACAGCAATCAACTACATCAACAACTGTACCAGCCATCACAGAAAATTGCTGTTGATGAACACACTGTCAAATCAAGGAATAGGCTGGGGATTAGGTAGTTAATGAAAGATGGCCTACTATGTGGGAGATAAATTGCTGGAGACAGTCCTAATGGTTATATTGCGACTTTGAGATTTATACAGGAACAGGTCCAGAGATTCATCGTAGGATGGATTTGGGTACAACATGGTGATGTGGTATAAGTTTGGTTACAATCTTAGGTCTTTTGCTGTCCGATATATATTTTGTGCAAGAAAGGAAATATTTTCACCACATAATCCAATTATGTGCCTTGGAAAACATTACTTTTTTATAACTACTAATGATGATGCCAGCCCAACAACACTTGGTCATGCTATATGCAAATATTTTCATGTTCTAGATTGTGAAAACAATCAATTTCTAAAGAAATGAGTAATGATTATGTAAAATTTGAATAGCATGACCAAATTTTCAGGCTGGTTATGCCACTGATAACTATAAGTCAATGGTGTACTGATTATTTAAGAATGTATATAGTAACCGTAGAAATAAAGACATTTTGCAAATAGTGATTTGAGTGTTCTTTTGTGGGTATCACAGACTTATTTTGGTGCCATACTATCCTTAGAGTGAAAGAAATATTAGAAATTTGTATTGATAGTATGTTGCAGAAATGAAAAAAGGACCTTTGATAAGGGTATTTGTTTCATGTGAGCAATTTCTATTCTCGTACGATGTATACTTTGAAAGATATATGCGTTCAAAACAACACCATTCGAAATTGCTCATTTTTGGGAATGAGTTAAGTTGTTACTCAAAGCTAAGTTGGCATTCAAAGTTAAGTTGACATTCAAAGACGATTTGGTATTCAAAGGTGACTTGGCATTTGATGTTAAGTTGGCATTCAAAAATAAGGCCTTGCCAAAAGACAACAAGAAGTCCTTGCCAAAAGACAACAAGAAGTCCTCTAAAGAGAAACAGAAAATAAAATAAGACGGGTATAGGTTGAGTGTTTCCTACAGTCCAGCATTTTTTGTCAATGCTGCAGCTGATCATCCCCAAGACAAGGCTTCAGCTAGCAGGGTTGAAAATTTCAACCCCGGGCTTGAACTCGGCCCTGGGTTGAAAATTTTGTTGTGTAATCGTTTCAACACAGGGCTGAAATTATTCATGAGCAAAAATGAAGGTTGTTTTTTTACTTTATGCTGAGAACTTATAGCATTTCAACCCCAGGGTTGAATATAGAGCTGTGCACCAGAGTTTCATATTTCAATGAACATTTGGTATTAAATGGAAAAATTAAGTTGTTTACTAACATATTACTATTCATATGTTGTTTTACTATATATTACTATGTTGTTTACTATTAATGTTGTTTACTATAAAGTTAAATTACTTGCTCAGTTGCTCCAATCCATTTCGTGGTTTCGACTTTCAAAAATTCTGCAAGCGCATTGTTAGCCTTTGATACAAAAATCCATTGATCCCATCCAGTGTATTTTGGGTGAAGCGTTGAGACGAAAGAGTCATTGATTGTTTTCACTCATAAAATAGCCACCTAGCTTCATATATTAATTTTATTTAACAATACATGGTTTGAAAAAGGTGTTTAAAAAAGATAAATTCTGAAATTACACCGAAATACTTTTGCCTGCTTCCACTTTTAAATATGAAATTTCCTTAAACATTCCTTGCCGGAGCTGGAGTTTTCACTGCCCGAGCTAAAATAACCAGAGTTTGCATGTAATTAAATCATCCATGCAATTGCAAAAAATTTCAACCCGGCTAACAGGGCTTAGTTCAACCACAGGGTTTGAAGTGCTCCATGTAATCGGCCCCTAATTAAGCTCAAATCACACTCAGATTGCAGAGCATCAGATTGTCAGAAACTCCATTTCAAAATGATGTCAGCTAATTTCACTTTTGATAGTTGAAATATATAGGCATAATACTCATCTAAATGAATTTTATACTGCCGGTTCCTCCATCGTATTTTTACTGCCACATTTGACAAGCATGTTTAATATTTATACCTCATAAAATGTGCAATATACATCGTGAAAGTCTACATATATTTAGATACAGCAACTCTACTTAGATATAAAAACAGGCGGCCCAGATGTGTATTAGTATATAGTGAATATATCATTATAGAATATACTACACAGTAAAATTTTTAATTAATTTTATATTTCAAAATCATATTTACTTGCCTACTTCGATTGTATGTGATCGTCTTTTATTTCTGGGCGACTTTACACTGTGTGCCTGCGACTACTGTCTTTATAGGTGATAAGAATGAAAGCAAAGGCTAATGATTCCAGTTCTCAAACAGGCGACACAAACATGTCAACTTGAAAAATATCCCTTTTAAATTGCTTTGCTCTCGGTAAAAATTCACCAGCGTATAGTATAAACACCCACCTTCGAACATACAAGGCAATTTTAACATGTCCTATAATTTTTGCAACAGATTTTTAGTGAAATGTTTCAAGACTAAAATTCTATGTAACTTAGAAAGACCGATAATTACTACGGCGCCTGCTTGGCAACTGAGCCTCCTGTACCGTTTGGATTGTCAGGGGGGAAGTCACCAGCAAGCGCACACAATGCAAATACCAAACACCTATTTCCGGCAACACCCAGCCAATCAATGCTGCGATAGTGACTGTTTACAATGTTTGATGCTTGTAAGTTGTAACCTTACGTCATAACTATATGTCACTTTGAGATTGTCGTGTTGCTTTGAGCTTTCAGTCTGCACTTTTTCCATTCTTTCTTGGCAGTATGTGTCAACTAAATTATGATCAGAAACATATTCTAAAATTTGTTCTCGCTGGGCATGTTTTAATAACCGGTCAAGCTGGTGCGGGCAAAAGCGAAGTGGTTAGAGCATTAAAAGGCCCAATGAAGCGAGAAAGAATGTGGCTGTTGTATGTTCTAGCGGCATTGCATGTCAAGTGTATGAGCGTGGAGTGGCATCAACAGTTCATTCATACTACGGGTTTCAAGCAGCTAATAATCCTTGGAAACAGATCGTAAGCAGATCAGCAGAAAATTTGCTTGTGCATGATAGATCAAAGTCTATGGACGTGCTTATTTGGGATGAGGCAAGCATGTCAAGTCAAAGGATGTTTGAGTTGGTGAACGCTTTACATCATGCTGTGGCCGAGGACGAACCAAGTCGTCACCATTTCTTTGCAGGAAAGCAAATCGTGTTGGTCGGAGAGTTTCTACAACTAAAGCCGGTCCCTAACACCTTTGACTACAGTAACTTTGTTTTCCTCACCCCCTTTTGCGAAAGTTATTCCTCACCATTTCAAGCTGACTGAAATTATGTGTCAAACCGATCATGCTTTTTTGTCTGCAATTTCGGAATTGAGATTGGGGAAATGTTCTGTTTTTGTGATGCAGGAGTATCTTTCAGGTCTTGAAAGACCATTGCCGTCGGCGCTTGAGGATGATGCGATGCACATTTTCTTCAGATAAGGGAATGTGATGCTTTTCAACTGCCTAAAAACTAATAAGCTTTCCGGCGAGTTTGTCAGCTTTTCCGCAGTCTTCAAGAATGATGTGTCCATAATATCAGTTGGCCTGGCCACCATGTTCAACTGAAGAAGGAATGAAGGTGATGCCATTATGGAACAAGTCGGATTCACTAAGAAATGGCAGCATTGGTGTTTTTAAGGATGTCAGAAATGATGCGTTATTGCTTTCATTTGAAGGAGTAGTGGACGTAAAACATGAGAGACATGGATGAAACGTAATCACGCTGGGATTGCCATGGGAAGTGTTTCTCAATTTCCTTGCGGTGATTCACTGTTCAAAGGAGTATGTCCCTGGATTGATTTATGTTGCAGTCTCCAGAGTTAAATCTCCAGATTGTGTTCAAGTCTTGAATTTCAGTGCCAGTCAGCTATTACCACCTAGCAATAATGTGATCCAGCTATGTTCCACCAACAACACCAAAAAACCAAAGCAGATCTAACATGTTGTTCACAACAGGAATGTCTGGATGAGAAGAAATGTTTTGCTGTCATAGATCGTTTCTGTGAATACGAAGATGATATTGATGATCATCTTTATTTTCCAATCAACTTGTGTGATGGGCCTGTATCATCATGCTTCGAAGAAAGTGATAATCCTGACAACCCAGTTCCAGTTTAATTGATTGAGATATATGAGAATCTTGATGATGATGATTCAAACAATGCATTGCCTTCTTCTGAATGTGTGAAGAAGTTGAAGGAATATATTGCTATTGCTAATGAGAAACAGGATAAACCATTATCTTCATTCTTTCAGGAACAGAATGTGGCCATTGATTATCTCTTCAGAGAAGAGAATGATATTAAATTAAATGCACTTATTTCAATAATATGGATCCATGTATTCAAGTTGATTGGGGATCATATAGTGCAAAATGCTGATGAAATCACTTTCAATTTGGGACGTCAGCATTTTACTGATGCTGTTGCAGAGCTTTATGAATTTTACATTGGTACCAACTTTTCAAACTATGTTAATGCTATCTTTGCTTGTGATCAACCAACAGCAGCTCAGAGGGCAGTCATAATTCAGTTGAGTAACCAGGTTTTTGAAGAATTTCTTGAGTATGGTAAAACAACTTGACGAAAGATCAGAGGTCGCCTTTAAGGATGATATGAGTGGTGAGGGATGATCCAAAGTTTGGTATGTTGGTGGGTGGGTGATTTTCAAGATCATGAACAACTATAGACAGTACATAAAAGCAAACATGTTCTCATTAAATCCAGCCACTTTGTCAACTGTTTGTACTAAGCAAGAATGTTGTGACTTGTTAGAAGAAAATGTTATCACTCCATTTGCAAAGTTAGAACAAAGTTCACTGTATGCCGAGACACTGCAGATCACTGAAGGTCGACAATACAGGGAAAGAGGCCTACTCCACATCACAGACAACACATACCACTTCTTCATGATACTGGAACAGAAAAGAGTAGAACTATTAAATATTAACAGATTACATCAAGAAAATAAAGAAATGGTTTCAAAGGCAATTGCTGTTATTGATAAAGACACTTCTATTCGGAGATGTTGGCTAAATTGTTTTTCTCATACCTGTGTTGAAAATCAGTTGGTAAGTTAAGTTTAATTTTTAGCAATTATATTTACATTCATACTCAACAATTTTTTTTAAGCTGCATAGCTTCCTCATTGACAAGTACAATCGTCTGGTGTTAGACAAGTAAAAAGGGCGCACTTGGATGCATTGCAGCCCCCAGGGGTGTATCCAGCTAAAAATCTGACTGTAGCATAATCCCAAAATGAGGAGGCACCACGTAATCTGGGGGGGGGGGGGTCGAGGGGCATGCCCCCTGGAAAATGTTTGAAATTTGAACCCCAGAAACACCATTTCCTGCATTCTGAGCATCAAATTCTGTTATAACTGAGTTGACCTTAATAAGGCTATATTTTAGACAAAAAGTTACAAAAACACGTAAAGACAGTAAACAACATACCAAATCATACCAGATCTACATTCTTAATTACTGTATGCAAAGTTTAAGACCAGCCTTCCTCCCCATATTAATATGTAATTTAATATCATACCGCATATGTGTAACATTTATAAACACATTTACAATCAATGCATAAAATCAATGGGCAGAATGATATATAACGCAAACAGACACATTTATATACTGAAAGAAACCTTCGGATTAACAGAGATTCAACCACTTAAATATACAAGCCAAATTTCGAGGTTTTGCTTGTATTTTTGAGTTACGGTTTGCTTGTATATTTCAGTATTCGTTTCAGTAATTCAGTATGAAACATACCCAGCTATCTCTCAATCCTAAGCTTTGTGTTGTTATATAATACCAGTGTGGAAAGTTTGTATCGCGCGGCGGAAATATCGGACGCGCAATTTTTATGCTTTCTATATATTTACTATTAAATTTTCGAAATCTCCGGTGCGCAATTTCCAAACACTGGCACGGAGCGTTTGAGATTACATTTATATTCTGTTTATTAATATATTCTAATATTCATAAGCTTACCTGACCCGAATGTGGTTGAACGAGCGCGCTTTCACTGTTTTGAATTGTAATTTCGAAAAATCACACACAAATACCTTGCGATCTTTCAGGCAATCGGCCTTAACTTTGCTCCCAATGGCATCTTCACATAGCGCTTTAGTCTACTTAGTTTTTGTTCGAAAGAAATTGGCTCAGTAAAAGCGCAAACAAATATAGCCAAATAGCATCGCTCTAATGTTCCTATCGAATTGTGCAACCGTAGCTGACTGTAGTGCATTGCAGCACTTTGATTGGTTTGCTTCATCTGACTGTAGCAAAAATGCTAAATTTAGTAACTCGTCCCCCCGCTGACTGTAGCATTTTGACGTAAGACCCCCAGTTGACTGTAGCATTTCTGAACGCTTTTTGAACGATGTTTAAAAAATTTAGGTGATTTCCCCTAAAAGCGGGCGTTGTTTCAGGTAAAATTCAGGTTAAGATAAGCGCATAAAAACGTAACTTAATATTCGTAGCTCACAAAAAACGAACGGACATCTGGTCGAAGCTGCGGAAGTTAAATTTTTTGAGATAGAGAAACTGGAAAAATTCTATAAGGATTTTTTACTATCACCACATTCAGTATTAAAAATATTTTTGCACAAAAATCTGACTGTAGCATTTGCTACAGTCTGGATCCGCCCCTGACTAGAGACATTGTCAGATTTTTTTTGGTTAACCCATCAATGCAGAGCTTTCCCATTGACAAGTAAAATCGTCTGGATTAGACAAGTTAAAAAGGTAGGGGCCATTGTGGCTCAATGCATAGCAGGAAATAATGTATCTAGGATCCCTGAAAAATTTTATACATGGTTTAAGACCTTGCATAATGATAATAGGCACAGAAAATAATTTATCAGGATGAATATTGTTGAGATTGGCAAAAAACCTTGACCCCAAAATTTGGATACCAGAAACAAATATATTATTTCCTGCTATGGCTCAATGGGTTAAGGTTTAGTACTGAATTCAGTTGTCTGTTGTATATAATAAACACATATAATAAATTTAGATATGTTATTTTTTACAGAATCGTATAGAAATGATGCTGAAGAGAATACTTTTCCACTATGTGAACATGGGAACCAACCAGTTCTCGAGGGATTTCAGACTTGCATACAAAGTTAAGAAGACTGCAGAATTGCACAAGAAAGTGCAACAAAAAAGGAAAAACAACATGAAAAAGCTGAAAGTGTGTCATTTTTGGTAAGATATTTAAATTGTGCCAATGTGTTATTTAATGTGATTTCCATACCCATGTTCCAGACTATTTATGCAATCTTACTTTTCAAGAGACAAATATATAGAAAAATACATCTGCCATTAGGTTCATGCACGTTTATTATGCAGTCTACACAATGATACAATGCACCTTTTTTTAATACAAGTGGCCATTTACAAAATATGTTATGCTGTTTTGCCAATTTTTTATTTGCTCAATTTCAATGCCTTAACCTCAGCCTAAGTAGTTTCCAACTCAATGTTCTTTCCACTCAGGCAATATATTTGATAGAAAATATTGATTTGCATTCTAAGGGCCACATATTTGCAAGCATGCACTGTCTTGTTTTGTTAGATACATGGATAAATTTTCCCATATAATAATTGTGAAACCCCCCTCTTGTGACACTATGTGTCATATGTGACTCCTGATCAAACATATCTACCCCCACAAGTGTTACAGTACATACAGTGTATTTTGTGAATGGCCCCCAATTGCCCTGTCTGACATTAGACAATATTTAATCATCAAGGGAAGAAAGTAGAGGATTGGGAATCTTCTTAATAGAATATTTTTTATAGGATATTCTTAAAGACCGAAGTGACAAGAAACAGGATCAAATGGACGTCTTATTGCATTTGTCAACAAGTACCATGATGCAGGATTGTGTCGCATTTACAAAAAAGGCCAATTGGTTCAGTTATGTAAAGGGTATTGGGTTGACAGATTCTCTCAACGCAACAAGAAAGTGCTATCAAAGAAATTAATGAATGCCATTTGCTCAAACACTAGTGTATTTGACATCCTACTAATAGACAACCTACAGTATGCTGTGGCAGAGAATATTTCGGGGCATATTCATATTCGAATCCGTGTAACAGGTAAAGTACAAATAATATTAATAAAACAATATATTAATTTCATATGGTTCATTAGATCAAAAACAGTTGACCCTAAAACATGTACTAATAGCCAACTACTGGTAATTATTAACTTTGCAAACATTAATTAAGTTTGCATATAATTTTTCCCAAAAATTTATTGATCAACATTTTCTGACTCCAATGTACCATGTGTGTAATACAATAACCTTTATGGTACCGTTACCTTTTGAAGCTTTCCCGGCATTGCTTTTTCTACTTATAAATGTCTGTCGAATCCTTATTGAGTTTTGCGTCGACTGTTGCTGCAGATAGGTTGGGTTGTTGTTTTGCCCATTGCATGATCTTACTTATCCAAAATAGTTCTCCACACAGTCTTGGTTTATTATGGCTGGTTTCAAAACAGACTGTGGGAACTGGCTTAACTTGATCGACACCAGTGAGTTCATACCAATACACATTGACTGCAGGTCAAACCAAAGTTTGCTAGACACAAATAGGTTTGGTCTTCCGCCAGTTTGATTGGCCCAACTCTGCATCAGTGCAAGGAACTTTTGCAATTGCTTCAACCTCCTGTCTTGAACTAATGTAATGTAGAGTTTCTCATTGAACAAGCTAACCAGTTCTCTTGTTTGTTCAAGCAAGGTAATGGTGGAGCTGAGGCTGGACCCATTGTTGCATGTCACTTGCAGGTGTTCTTGATAAGACTATATTAATGCAACAGAATAAAAAAATTACTATAGAACAAGCAATGTGCCTATAAGTTAGTTATAAATCAAAATATCACCATGACTATGACTATGGCTAAAGTTAGTTACAAATCAAAATTTCACTATGCTTTTATGGCTATGCGTTTACATCACATGTGTACCTAGCCTGCACACTACTGTACGTGAGCATTCACATACATGCGTTTTAATAATAATATGAATATGATTTTTCCCTTGCAAACAATATTTTTTTCAATTTAATATGTTTGTTTATAATTTCGTAACCAATCTTTCTATACATTTCAATGTCGAAAACATTTGCAAAAGTATGAGCACCTGCTTACATATTTTTTAACATGGGTCAGTCATGTCGCCATGTGATGAGAACTTTCATTTTAGGCAGACTTTTAGTAGCACCTTTATTTGGCCATGGAGTATCAAGGCCTATTTACACTACGCTTGAATTTTGTCATGGCACGGAAAGTAGTATAATGCTTGAAAATTTAATTCAACGACAATCGACATTTTTAGAACAGTACATGTGTCAAATGAAGAAGTGATAGAGAAACCATAATTTACTTTAGTGTAAAAGTAAATTAATTTTTACCTTCAAGAGACATAGCATTTTGTGGTCAAGCACATCCTCTGCCAGGTGATTCCTCATTTTGGCTGTGGAGTCCAGGTCAAAATGGGCCAACGTGAGCTTTTCATGGAGCAGAAGGGATAAGTTTGATTGTTCCCAATTGTTATTGCTCTCTGAATTGATGCCATGTGATGTCCTTTCCATTCAGTTGGAGACAGCGAGGTTTGGAATGAATGTTACTTTTTAAGATGTTGTTTCGGATCTTCTTAATGTTGTTCTGTGCATAATATATAAAGACATACAGTATCCATTTAATAGAAACCTAATATCTCAAACTCATTAATAATTCATGAGTACATTATCCAACCATTTTGTCCAACCATTGCTTTATTCCGCTCACATGATAATACTGGATACCTGGTGAAGTATATTGATCAAGTTATAGGACTTAATTAAAATTAAAATTAGTACAGTCCTTGGACTGGATCACAATTCATTCACCTCACTTTAAGTAATTATTTATTCGTATGAGATGTCATTGGAAATCCTCCAACGCCAAATCGTTTGCCTCAGGCTTGATCAAATTGCGCAGACTTGAAAAGTCGGATTTGAACTATTATGTCATTTATTGGAGCCATTCAAATTTCATGTTCATCATCAAGCTTCATCCGTTCATTGCATGTTTTTTCGGTGTCATTAATAAGTACGATTTCTATTAAGTGCCTGATTTTGTTTGCGCAATAAGTCGTAAATACCTGGGTTCGATTGTACAAAAGGTGTTTAACTTATGTTTAGCCGCTATCCAGCATATAATTTTTATCCGGTGGATAAAGTGTTAAAAAATGGACAGCGACTTAACACCTTTCGTTACAACCGGCCCCAAGGGCGTTTAAATACCATTGGGCTTTTATATATACGTAATATATTAGGTTTGGCTAATTTTTCTGCTAACGAATCATATCATTATAATTATATTCTTTTAATGGACGAAGCAACCATTTTGGTGATTGATAGTCATAAGTTCTCTTGCAAAATGAGAGTCAATTGAAATCGAGAAGCACAATACTATAGATCAGGAGGGAAAGTCACTAGATAGCACGTCACATGCTCTCTTTAATGTGCAAAATTAATTTATCTTGTCTTGGATGCGTGCGCATTAATTGGAATCACGTGGTCGATGTGCTGTTTAATTAAATTTCAAATGACGCAAGCCAACAGATCATGACACTTTTGTATATAAAAAGAGTGTGTGAATTAAACAAGTCACATATTATTAGCACTGATGAAGATCTGGGCTTACGGATCGAAAGCTTTGCAGTAATAAATTTACGTGGTGTTTCCACAAACAAAACTATTATATTCTTTTAGCTTGGCAATCAGGCAAACAAATTAGTCCAATGGAAAACGGGATTTAGTACCGGAATATCTTTATAACAATATATTTATAACCGCAACAGTTGAGCCAAACCACATAATATTTTAGTTTTTAGCAGCAGATGTTTAATTCCTAGCCATAGAGAATCTACAGTTCCCTAATGTGCATCATGTTAAGGTACATAACTGCCAACCTTTGGATCCATAAGGAAAACCATTGGACGTTTAGTGTATATATTGTAGGTCACAAATTTCGTAACTGTTGTAACTATTATCTGCCATTGATTCTGTAATTTTCCTAAATTATAACTGACCAGACCTACAAGAAAGAAAATATTTATTATGAAACTGGTTTTAATTAATAAAGTTCTGCCCACTCATTTGCCTACTAAAGCCTGGTTTCCATTTGGTCGTTAGCTGTCGCTGGTATGACAAGTGGCTGATGTAATAGAGTGTTAAGAAAACTCTACAAATTTACCTTTGTATTACACTGACACAGTGCTAGTGTAAACAACCATGCATTGGCAAACACAGAGATAAAAACAACGTTTTATTCTGTATTGGTTTTCCTAAATTATAACTGACCAGACCTGCGAGAAAGAAAATATTTATTATAGAAACTGACTTTAATTAATAAAGTGCTTTCAGGCTATTCAATTAGCCCACTCATTCGCCCACTAAAGCCTGGTTTCCAACATTATTAAACGAACGGATATGTTCGAGTTTATTGCATTTCTTGCTTGTTTAGAACTTCTTGCTTGTTTGGAATTCACTGTTCTAAATAGTGTGTATCATAACAACATACTAAAGCCAAAGCAAGTTCTTTGTTTGGAAAGTATTTCTTTGAGAAAAGATGTTATTTGTATCCTGCCAACAGGGTTATGGAAAGTCTCTGATTTTCCATCTGACCCCATTGTTGATGTTTGCAAGGGATCATATTTATAAAGAAATCGACTTTCTTTCTCCATGGAAATCAGCATCACTTGGGATATTTACTCAGGATGTTTCATCAATTGTTATCATTGTGTCTCCCCTGAATTAATCTATCACAAATGAACAGTAACTAGAGGCCTAAATAAGTCTATCAAGATTTCTAGTAGGTCTCTAGTCCAAAGTCTTTAAATTATTGTAATATATTTTAAGTAGCTTTTTTTTTAAATTTACTGATACAAGATCAAATATCTTGACTGAAATCAAGTGGCCTTCGTGTGTCTGCCATTTCTGTAAATATTCGCAAAGAAATATTCCATGGAGAAATCACAGACAACGCTGTAAACCTGGACGGTACTCCATACGATTGTGACCTCAGGCTTTGTGAGAAAGATCAGCTTGTCAAAGGACAATATATTCCATTTAATCCATTCCATTTAATGTCCACATACCCCCTATGTATGGCCGATTTTTTTGAAGGGTGACCCCATAGTTTTCCGAGGGGTTACAATTTTTCTGAGGGGTAATGGGAAAATTTACAAATTTCTGAGGGATGTTCTGTGCTGGCACTTTGATCTTTTCTTAGGGGTTAAAATGTGGCCAGGCATATTTATCAAGCTTGCCCTGTGTGGATACACACTCAGAGTAAAATCACAAACATCTTATTTGCCTGAGTACACAGCACCAACACACAGGTTAACCAAAACATGTGGGTGACCAAAACATTTGTTTTCTGTTTTGAGGCAAGTGTTTTTGTTTACATATATCCTCTCAAATAAGCATTTCCAGAGGGGACTTACTGTATCAAGCCCCCTCTCTATTTATTAATTAACAAACAGAAACATCTGCAGTCAGTAGACTTATATATTTAGTACGCTTTTTGAAACCCTGACCAATTGCTATATAAATTAAAACTATCATTAACTCTTTAAGTGGCAATTACTTTGTTATTTTACTCTGTCTAATGCCAGACTATTTTTATCCCCGAGCCGGCGGCGCAAAGCGCCGTGCAAGGGTACTAATTCCGCACAGCTATTTACACCCGGGGAAAGGAAAGCACTAGCGAAGTCTAAAGTTCATCAAATATTGTGGGCGCATGGCTCATCGTTCATGGTTCATGGGTGGTCATCCTCACTGATCTCAAAATATGTAGCGGACTGTTGTGAATAGTGAACACTGATTGGTCAAACATGAAATTTGCATTATAACGACTGCATTGACAACAGCGAATGAGCAAAATAACAAACATTTCTTGGAAGTTGTATTTTAGCAAGATTTTGTAAATTTCAAAACCTTTCTGAGAGCCAAAAACGCCTAAAAACGTCTAAAAGAATAGAGCAAAGTCGCCGACGTTAACAAAGGTAAGTCTGTTTTAAATATTGATGTATTGTTTTTTTTATAATTGATATATTTATAACTGATAGTGGTGGGCGATATCGAACTAAACCTATCATTGCATATATAAGTGAAAAAAGACAGCATATAATTTCAGTGTAGTTTTATTAATTACCTTTTCTTTTGTATATTAAAGTATTTAAATAAAGAGGAAAGCAAAGTTATATTCATGCGAGAATTTGAAATCGGCTTATTTCAAACTCAATGTTTACTGATAAAAGGCCAGTTAGTTTTTAAGAACATTTTAAAACGTTTTGTGAAGCATTTGTGGTTGAATTTTACATTAAATTGAAGCTTATATTACGTATAATAACATACCTGGCATATATATGTTTGGGAAATTGATAATTTTGTTATTAAAAGTGATATTTTGGGAGGATTTTTCAATTTTAAAACCAGGTTTAAAACTATTCTTAAAATTATCGTGTTACCATGACAACTACTTTCAATTCATATTCAGAAAACATAATGTTTTGTCAGTAAGGCAAGGGTTTCTGCATGCATATATTTTCTAGTACTATATGCATAATGCCAGACCCTCATCAGGGGGAGAGTGCTGTCACTCGATGGGTTAAAAATACAAAAAATATATTATAAACTTCTTTGTTTACCTTTTTCAGGGGCAGTGAATTTAGGAATGATTATGGAAAACTAGGTGTACTGTGTGCATTCTTTCCTGACATCCTGGCTGTTGCAATAACTGCAACAGCCAGTTCATCTGATGTTGTGAAGATAAAAGAATCTCTGGGTTTGAAAAAATGCAACTACATCATCGGTAACCCGGACAGCAAATATTTGCTATAAAAAAGTTTTTCGTTCTGGAATGGATATTGATGCAATACAGTCTATTTTGAGACCAATTGCCAATGAATTGTTGACATCAAAACTGAACTTTCCATTGGCCATAATTTACCTACCCCTCAGATGGTGTGGTTTTGCATACAGGTTGTTTGAGTCAATCCTATGCCACAAGCAGTATTTTCCAGGAGCACATGCCATACCAGATAATAGACTATTTGCACAGTTCCATGCACCTCAAACTGCAGAGATGAAAGCTGGAATATTACATCAGATGTACTCAACTAACAGCATTGTTCATGTGGTGTTTTGCAACAGTCGCTATTGGAATGGGTGTGGACATACCAAATATCTGTCAAGTTATTCATATAGAGTCCCCCATGTTCTGTAAAGCAGTATTTTCAAGAGACAGGAAGAGCAGGTTATAATAACAGGGACAGGAAGAGCAGATTATAATAACAGGGATATTGCAAAAAATAATGTTGGCATGCAGAATAGCATGAGGGAGTTTTGCCATCAAAATAAAGAGTGCCTGAGAAAAGAACTCCTGAAGTCACTGGATTACTTATATGACGAGAAAAAAAAATCCACTACAGTTATGTTGCAGTATGTGCAAGAAGGCCTGTGAGTGTTCAGAGTGCTTGCAACAATTAATTGAAGACTTTCAGGAACTATAAGCTTTAATGAACAAATACATTCTATAAATCAATGTTTTGTTTGTGAGTTCTCAGCAACCTGGTATAATATCAGTCATGTTTTCGCTCACTACTCTGGTTTTAATAAATGAATGCAAAGTCGAGTCAAATTCTATACATGCCAAATTGTATACAATGTTTTGAGAATCCAGTCTATATAGTGTCTTCATCAGGAGTGACACTTTACATTCATTTGTTAAAATCAGATTAGCAATCTAAAACATGACTAATGGTTTGTTATTAGCTGGTTTTATAATACAATAATGTTAGATAAATTTATTTACATTTACTTCTTATGTCCCTATCAATGTTAAAACTGAAATGGATGATAAATTATATGTAAATTGAATCTTTTTCATGCCTTAAGGATAAGGCAAAATTGTTAATAATATATTCAATGAACAATTGAAACAATTCGATCAAACTATTGGAATTTTATTTTTTGGATAATTGAAATTACTTATTCAAGTTATGTTTAACATTGAAAGATTGACAATATTGAAGCAGTAAAATATTAAAATTGCACTGGAATATTAAAATTGCACTGGAATATTAAAATTGAGAAATTTGCAAAGTTCTATTAATTATTGTTCAATATCATCAAAAACATCTACATTGTCATCTTCATCATCATTATCAAAAACAGGATAATGTAATATGTTTTTAGTGTGTCGTTTAATCCAAGTTTGAAATTTAGCACTATCAAACTTCTTCATTGGATTAGCACAAATATCCTGAAAGGATTCAAATTCTAGCTCTACCAATTAAGTCTCAAATCTCCCACGTCTCCAAGAACGATCCTTTCATCATTCAAAGCCAACGTACTTGAATGGGAAAAGGACTTTCAGTGAATATTCGCATCCTCTTCGTAAGATTCAACAATCTTTTTCACCCCCCACATGCTTTACTTGCTTCTGAAATAGCTTGTTCCGACTTGTTAGCGCCCATAGACTTTATCAGTTTTTTCATCTCACTGTTCTGGTTCTCTTGAACAGGTCTATTTCAATGTTCTTTCCAGAACCGCCATTCCAATTTACAGTTGCAGCCCACTTACATTGATGTGCCTCTGCTTCAGTCAGCAAGACTTGACACTGAAGGAAGTTTATTAACACCTCTATGGCAAACTCGTTGTAGGCAGGAATACTGACGAAATGTACCAGTAGCTGCTTTCGTAATCTGCCAAGTATTCCCCATTACCAGATTTAACAGCATCCTTTAAATCAGCCAGCAGCAAGAATGAAGCCATCAGGTTAACTGCATATGATAGCACACCGTCTCTCGTACATGCATCGTCTCCATCATTTGTTGCGCAAAACACATACTCATCCAGGAACTTTTCCACTGTAGTGACGATGTACATATCCTTTTGTTCTTCATCCAGAGAATTGGGAGCATTTTGAGAAGGTTTTTTGCTTTGTGTTGGTCATTTGGAAAAATTCCAAAAACGCTTCTACAACAAAAAATTTACCCATGTTCATGAACAACTGTTCGCAACTTCGCAGTCCTCAAAATGTTTCACATCAACAGTTACATTGTGCTGGTTTAACTTCTCTCTAAAATACCTTTTTCTTTGGCTTAACTCTTATATAATCTTTTAAACACACTCTAAAAACAATAACATCAAAGTGCCTCAATAATCTTACTGATTTTACAGTTACCTTTGATGCCTCACGTATTTGAGAGCTCCAATAAGCTGATTGAAATAGCAAATTTTAGATTTAGTATACTTCTAATATGACTTCAACAACAGTTTTAAATCTTTTGTACAAATTCTTTGACACAAAAGGTGATAAGTTGAAATGGAAAGGCACTATAGAAGACTTGAAAGCGTTTGTATTGACCGAGATTAACGAAGATACCGCCGATAATACCTCGTGGAAGTCACCAAGTGGCGGAAAGTGGTGCTTCAAAAGTAAAGAATTAACAGTTATATGGCAAAAGAAAAGTACAAACATTCAATTTGGTGGCGATAAGGGGAAAGAAGTTATAGAATGAGTGTACAACTTTATGCAACTAAATAAGACGAATTCCCGATGTGACGATGATAAAGCTATCGATCAAGAAAGAAACGTAGAAAGCCTGCTAACTGATGACCTTGCGGATAAATTAAACGATAGCGACTTTGATGAATTTTCCGAAAATCGAACAGGGGATATTACATCTAGGTTGGCATTTCAAGGCGAAAACTTGGGAGAAACGTGCCATTGTCCATGTACGAAAAGCCATACGATCAGCTTCTGTATCGTCTGAAGGAAATTTGCATGTCAGATTAACCGAAACAAAAGATACACTTAATCCCCGGGGAACTGGTGGTGCTCAATCGAACTGTTTTAGTTGTAACCCTGAAATCATTATATTAAAATCACATTTTGCGAGATTCCGTAAGGACGTTACAACAAAACTAGATGATCTAGCTCTTGAAATAAATGTGGTGAAAGAAAATAAACCATACTCCATTGTAACTCTTGAAGGAATTATCAGCGAGTTGAAGGAAGAAAGGCTGAATTGTCTAGAAAAAACGAAGAGCTTCGGGAAAACAATAACAGCATGCATAAAACAATATCGCAACTAAGCCAATCGACGAAGCAACTTGAAGAAGAAAAGTTTAATCACCGCAATAAAGCTAATTCAAAATGACTTTAATCAATGGCACTATATTGAGAAGAAAGCAAGTGATAATAAAATAGAAAATTCAGCTAACAACATCGATCATGTCAACAATAGCAATGCGTGGATAAAACCCAAACATCAAACCAGACAATCAACTGAATTATCTCGGGATGAAGGCAAACCGGAAACTAGTAACTGTTTTGAAATCTTCAATCAAAATACAAGTTCCCATGTTGTAACACCAGTTGTGATGAAAGACCTCGAGAAACAAGTTCAAGATCGCGTCAAATTACTGGACAAAACAAATAAATCTAGTTTATCTACCAAAAAAAACTGCTATAGATTGTAACCAACGTTGTAATCCGATTGTGATTGATGTTGAAGACAAACCTGAAACTAGCAACCGCTCTGATGTCAATTCAATTCAATTCAATGTATTAATTATTCACCCAAAATATATACAACACATTTAATAAATAATAAAGAAACATATGAGTGGGTGAAGAGCTAACTGTAATAACCATAACTGGGCTAATCTAGACAGTTAGCTATTCACAGAATTATCTTATGAAATATATACAGCACTGGATCGGAGAATTGATAATAAATTAGTATACATAAAAAAGATAATAAATAATAAATATAAGGAAAGATAGACCACGTCCTCAAAAGTTGGACAATATTAAAAACAAAAAATAAGTATGGATAGATAAACTGTCAAAAACCGGAGAGTAGGAGAAAATTTCTAAATAAATGATTAAATAGGATTAAAGGAATATTTAAATTAACTTAGCATGCAGCTCAACTAAGATTACTATACTGTTGAATTATATCATTTTTCAAATCCACTTTGAATCCAATTTTTGTAAGTTTTTTTAGCGGATTCACTGAGCGAATTCCAAGTCTTTGCTCCAATAAACCTTATATTAAATTTTCCATAATTGGTCCTAATTTTTGGAATTGAATATGATGACCCAGAGGCAAGACTTGTATCATGGCTATGTTTTATGTCCAGAAAAAAGGTGTCAAATGATGTTGGCAAGATTCCATAATGGAAATCGTACATAAACGTAGCAGTAACTAAGTGAACAAGGTCATACATCTTAATAATCTTCAGTTTTAGAAATAAGGGATTAGTATGATCGTTATAATCTGAAAATGTGATTAACCTAACGATCTTTTTTTGTAAAATAAAAAGTGGATTTAATGTAGTATGGTAGGTATTACCCCAAGTGATTAAACAATAAGTTAAATATGGATACACCAAAGCATAGTAAAGGCTTTTAAGAATTTCCAGATCAACAAAGTGACGAACTTTTGAAATCGCACCAATGTTACGTTTAATTTTCTTTGAGACATGATCCCTCCAATTTAAGTGGCAATCTATAACTACGCCTAAATATTTGGTTTTGTACTCGCGTTTTAAAGATTGATTATTTAAAATCACCCGAAAACTATCACCTATCTTTTTCTGCATTGGATGGAAAATAACAAAACTAGACTTTTCAATGTTAAGTGACAATTTATTAGCACATAACCATGTACTAACACATGAAAATCTAAAATTTTGGAACAGTTATGAAAGTCGTTTATATATAATAAAAAAAGAATAGGACCCAGGACTGAGCCCTGTGGTACTCCACAAGTAATACCCAGCATGTCGGATTTAACACCGCCCATAGAAACAAACTGTTCCCTGTTATCTAAATAAGATTTAAACCAATCATTTGCCATGCCCCTAATTCCATAATATTCAAGCTTTTGTAATAGAATTTGGTGGTTGACTGTGTCAAATGCCTTAGATAAGTCCAGAAAAATTCCACAAGAATAATTGCCTTCCTCGATCGCATTTTGAATTTTATCTATTATGGAAAGAACTGCATGCAGCGTAGAATGATTCGACCTAAAACCAAACTGCTTTTCATACAATAAATTATGTTTCGTAATAAAGTCCTTAAGCCGTCTACAGACTAATCTTTCAAGAAGTCCATTAAAAATTGAAAGTAATGAGATGGGTCGATAGTTATTAAGAATAAGTTGTGAACCTTGTTTGTGAACCGGAAAGCATTAGCAATCTTAAATTTATCAGGGAGAGTGCTAGAAGAAATAGAACAATTAAATATTGTTGCTAAGGGTATAGATATGTTCTTTTATTAATTTCAATATTTTTACTGGCACACTGAATGGACCGCTACTCTTTGAAGTATTAAGGTTACTTATTTCTTCAGCAATTTTGTTTACACTAATTGAATTTAGAAAAAAACTATTAGATTGTCTTGATGCTGGCATAAAATAACTTATGTCCTCAATAACTTAAATGTCCTCAATAACTTAAATGTCCTCAATAACTTAAAAGAAAATGCTACAGACAAACTAACAGGTTCTCCAAATCAGTCTGAAAATCCACCAAACCAATGTCGTAATCCGATTGATGTCGCCGTACTTGGTGATTCGATGGATAAAGTTGATTAATCCTTCTAAATTACGGAAAAGCTTGAAACGTAACGTTATGGTGAAAACGTTCCCCGGTGCTAATGTCTGTGATATGCAACATTATGCTAAACTGAGAAAAATCCTAAAAGCGTAATTTTACATGTTGGTACTAATGATTTAAAACATTCAACTCCTAAAGAGATAGCAGTATCGATATCTTCACTTGGAAAATGGATAGAGGAGAACTCGCCGGAAACAAAAGTGAACAAATTTGAAAATGTCCTAAAGCTAGTTGAAGACGAAAATATGGAAATCATCATAACTGGTGATCTCAACTGTAACTTTTTAGAAATGCCAAAAAGCCAAGTCACATGCAAATTAGTTGACATAGTGTGGTACAGCATGTAATCCCGTAGGACTTGCGTGCTAAACGTTATTTTTTTACTGTTTTGAATTGATTTGAGGACCAACTATAAGAAAATTACGGGGTTCAAATTTTTCTGGTGCTTACCTCCCTGCTGTGTGTCCAATTTAGTCCCCCCCCCTGAAGTGCTTCTGCGTCCTTTTTTCCATTAATAAGTAACCTATTTTCACAATCCTAGTGTCATTCTGGGGGTTTTCAAGAACACTGAGTGCATTTATGATACTTTCCAACAGATCTGGTTTGGTTATCACCGACTTTCAGTAATGATTGATATTAAGGTATCCGCCCAGGCAATATTTTTATCACTGAATTCATCCCATTCTCGGCTTTTTTTAAAGTTTAGTACATCTAATATTCAAAAATGATTTTTGGTTATTGATAGTAATTAATACGCATTATATATTTGTCCTCAAACATGGTAAAAATTTGTGATTTTACCGGAAGTGACAATGTAACCAAGCCTGATCATCCTGGAATGGTTGCTATGAACAGGTGCATGTGCAACCCGCCTCATTAATGCCAATTCTAAGATGGGGGAAGTAGTATTGTAAATACAGCAATGAAAGAAGCAGCTTTCGAATCAGAATTTACAAGAAATGAGTGAGTGTTTTGTTATTAACATGAATTTATAAATATCCTATTGCAAATATTCATAGTTGGAAATATTTGTAGCTTTCCAGTACCACTCGGACTGATTACTATCCTGAAGGAATTTAGTTTGAAGCCTGGCGAAACTCCAGAAGAAGGGCGAGCCAGATTATATAAACGGCTGTGGTGCTTATTATGGGTAGGTAACAAGTTTTATATTAAACATTGTTAGCTACACTATTTTCTTGCATATGTATGCTCAAGATGTGGTAAATCTAGCACGCGAACATGACGAAAGACACCCTAAATTCGCAGTGTGAGCAACACGGGTAAAAAATATGGATTATTTTTGTCAACAAAGAAGGATCCATGTGAAAAACAAATATCAACTGGTAACAAATCCAAATGAAAAGCATCAGTAACTGTCTTTTTGTCACATCCACATACTAAATTTAGCTCATTGATAGATTCGCCATGGAGGCTATATAAACAGTTTATTCCTCTTGCTGTTATGTTGTTTATCGAATATGGCGTACAGTATATCGATTTTTTGACATTGTAATATGTGGCCCTACAATATATGTATGACGGAATTACACCGTTTTATTACTGTAAGGCCCTGTTCACGTGATCCCGGGATAAACAACTGCCCCGCAAAAAGTCATTGACCTGGGTTACTGATATCTTCTGTTCACATGAACAGAGCTAGCGCAGGTCATGCCTATAAATACATTATGTGGGAATCATAAAATATTCCCGCCAACGTGAAATCTTGCTAAATAAAAAACATTCTGGTAAACGCAAGTCGTATTTTATGTTATGATATTTACAAATAGAACGTATTTGATTATCAGCCGTAATAAAATGTGCTCAATTCATTGTTTCTGGTTAACCACATCAAATTCTTTGAGTAACACACTACACTTCTTGGTTTCAACATCACTTATAGATTTCTAATGATATCTTCAATCAAATAGTTTTTGTGGAGTCCAACATGCTCTAAATGTAATTTTAATTTAGCCGCGATTTTGATCGTTTTACTAAAAATTCAATTATCCCCGGACAAATTTGCCCAAGGGCAAAGTGTTCACATGTGGAAAAGTTGTCCCAGCTAGGCGAGTGTCCCTGTCTACAGAGGCGAGGCACTCGGGTCAATTCTTGTCCCTGGACAAGTAAAATATCATGTGAACCGCACTATTCTTTTACTAAGGAGCCGACACAAATTTTTCCCGTGACAATTGCTTGCCCGAGACATAACGCTAACGCTGTCCTGGGTTCATGTGAACAGGGCCTAATACACTTTTTGTGTTTTATTGTTTATCTCTCAGTTTATATTGTTTGCTGAATTGTAAATGAATGCTTTTTATATGATGTGCTAATATATAATGAATACTCCGGCCACTATATCAGTAAATTAGACCCATGTCATATAAATCCCTTGGTTCCGATGTCGAAGGAGGGAAGCCAACATATGTGTACCCCCAAACCTTAAAGGCTGTTATCCGGGGAAATAATACCTGGAAATTTGGCAGATCATGTCGATCCAACCCATCCAAGGGTAGGTGTGGCTTTTATACTATGTTGTTTATTTAGGTTATAAAGTAGTATATAAAACTTTATTACCATATAACACCATTTTTATTTATTATTTAGGTATACAAGGTAAACATTGGTGACTTATCCAATGCTAGTTGGCCAGTAAAGAAACAGAAAGGAAAAAAATAACTACACTATACTTAGTATTATATGTTATATAGACAACAAATGTTCAGTCTCCTTTGTGTTTTGGATTTAAAGGACACAGGGAGTGTGATGTTCGGCTGTGCTCTTTTGACCTACATCGACAACTTTTCCCACTTACAATAGTCAATGTCCCGCAATTTTGTTCAGCTCCTGTAATAGCCTTTACTGCACCAGCAATGGGATTTGGGTCATCTGAGTCATCCTCTTCTACTCCTTCATCTGCATCATTGGTGCCATATGAATGATGCAGCTCCTTTCGTTTGAGCCACTTTTTCCTTGCTTCTTGGTCTTCAGCTCTAGCAACCTTCATGCAGATTCTGCCCTTCTTTTTGCCTTCTGTTTTACCTCTATCTACCTCTTTCATTCTAGCAGCAACCTCTTTCTGAAGGGTAATGACTGCGGGTATTACTGGAAGGTGAATTCTGTCGTAAAGAACTAAAGATCTATAAGCCAGTGGTATTTTGGACTTCTATTTTTGAAACACCATGACATGTTTCCCTGACAAAGGCCACAGTTCGTTGATGTTATTGCTGCCGCAGCGAGTGTGCCTGAAGCGAGCGAGCAAGGCAGCAGATCCTAATTTTGTTTTGTGGGTCGAAATCAAAATTTTCTATTTGGCGCATTGCATGACGTACCAGTGAATTTTAACCGTGGTGCAGCGCGGTCAGGCATAAGGCAAACAGGCAATGTGATCATGTTTCATCTTTGGTCTTCTTTTATGGAAAGCCATAGCTGGCTTAAAGTGATCAAACGGCATTTTGTTGGGTGCTTTTAGCATTATACGGCGGTGCTTTTGGCATTATACACGGTGCTTTCGCCATTATACGCGGTGGTTCCAGTATTATACGCGGTGCTTTCACCATTTATATACGCGATGCTTTTGCAATTATACGCAGTGGTTCGAGCACTATATGCGGTGCTTTTAATATTTTATACACGATGCTAGCTTTCATTCAACAATCAACATTATTTCCATATTCTTTCCATGACATGTATATGATTTAACGATTGCTTAAATTTGGTATGTGCATGGTTGACAAATGCTTTTTGCCTATGGTCTGCAAGGACAATGACATGCTTTTCTGTGTATATACATGTAAATGAATATAACGCAGCGAATGCGCCAACCAGTATAAACGCGGCTGAAATACGATATTAAAATCTTAAATGTGCCGTATGATTTAATTATGTTTTAGGATTTACAAATGCTTTGTCATTTGTATTTATACTTGTACTGCATCACAAGGCAGTACGTACTGTAAGTGAAAAAACTCCACATGTGAGATTGTCTTGTATATATTTTTGCTTTCTTTGATAAACACTATTAAACACGCAAATTTTAATTAGTGAGACGCAATGTTAAATGTCACCTGCATGTCATTGTCATTGCCCTTTAACCCCTGGTCTAATTGGCCGCTTTTGAAAATATTGATCATGACGAACCGCACTGCCTTAATTAAATGCAAACTTTGTGTTTTAAAAACGGGTTAGGATAAAACGCGGATGGACGGACGGATGAATGACGGACGGACCGGACGGATGACATATATATGTCGTTATATAGTCTGCGCGCAGCCGCGCAGGGTAGTTAGTGCCTTACGTCTTCGCTGGTTGTTATACTTTAAAATAATTTTGTATGTACCGAGAAATCAATATTCCGAGTATATAAATATATAAACTGGGATGTCACACTGATAGCTTGTTTACATTTCCTGGAACATCATGAAATCTTATGTTTAACCACGGTGGTTTAACCCATTAGCTGGCAATGCGCCCTTCCCTTGTCGAGCGCCAGAAGATTTTACCCGTCAGTGGTATAGGGTACTGCCAGTAAATGGGTTAACAAACCTATCTGCCAATGGCTCTTGTTAATTCATCAGCACAGTAATGACCCCTACTTTAGTATTTACCCTGTCCAACGCCAGACGATTTTTAATACTCAGTCAGTGGTAGGGTACTGTCAATAAATGGGTTAACAAGGATAACAATAATTAGCCTGCATGGCAGGCGGTATTTCCAGGCTTGCCCAATTTTAGGAACCGCCTGCCATGCAGGCTAAACAATAATAGGATGTTTCTGAAGGACTCGTTCAACACCCTGTAGTTTGTCTTTTGCTGTCAAAGGCAGCATTACTGCCCTGTGGGTAACCTAGTATAATGTAACCTGTAATGGAGAGAGGGCAACAAGACAATATTTCTTATCATTATCTTATTAAACATATATGAATATAATAAACACCAGGAACACCGGAACGAGGATATGGCACAGGGGGCAATGTCGACATAAGGGCAAATAATTTCAATGACTAACTAATATTTTGTTTCCGAAAAATGTGGCGGGGGGGGGGGGCGACTGGGAATCTTTTCCCGCCAAAAAAGGGGAAAAAGTGTTCCAGAACAATATTTCACCAAAAAAATTGTAAACATTTTTTTCTACATTTTTTTCTCACCCATAACTTTTGAAAATTATTAAATTAATACATAGAAAATTTCACATATATTTCAACATTACATCCACTTCACCCATAATTCATACTTTTTCCAGTGTCCCTGTCTGTTCTTTTGCAAAATTTAATTTTTAAATTTGTTTCAATTCTGCTGTCATAGCTTGTTTCAGAATAAAGGCAATATTCTGAGGCCGGTTGTTCAAAGCTGGATTAGCGCTAACCCTGGGTTAAAATTTAACCTGCTGTTTTAGTTTATGTATTCCTGTACATCTATTTGTTTCAAAACTTCAGAGAAGAAAACTCTCATTCGTACAGACAAGATTTCTGAAGAAATATTTCCACGTTTATAACCAAGCTGTCGGGAAGTTTGTTTTGTATTTTAGGTTAACCTATGGTTATAGATCCCAAAATAATTTCTTATATTGGTCATAAATTAACATTCAAAACAATAAATATACTCTTCACTCAAGCTGTTAAGCTGTAGAGCTTCCCCACTGACAAGTAAAATCGTCTGGCGTTAGACAAGTAAAATCGTCTGGCGTTAGACAAGTAAAATCGTCTGGCGTTAGACAAGTAAAATCGTCTGGCGTTAGACAAGTAAAATCGTCTGGCGTTAGACAAGTAAAATCGTCTGGCGTTAGACAAGTAAAAAATAGGCAGGGTGCACATTGCCGCTCAATGGGTAAAATAGAGACTTGTATGGTTAACCCATTAAGCTACAGAGCTACCCCATTGATGAACAAAATCATCTGGCATTAGACAAGTAAAATAAAAGGGGGCGCATTGCATCTCAATGGGTTAACAACTGTTCAATTACATTTAAATATAAAAGTATAATATAAATAGAATTTCTAACCTGCAGAGGCTTTGATCCTTGGTGCGGAAGTCAGGTAAGACACTAGAATGAGCCTCACACTGGTTGGAATGTCCTCTTCCCATTATTGGATGTATAACACTTTTAGCATCATCTGCACGATGTAGGCATTCAATTTGATATGCCAATTGGTGAAATGCACATGTAAGAGGGTTTTTTGTTTTGTAAGGTACACCAGAGCATCCTAATTTCCCATTTTCATCACAGTTACCACATCAGCACACAACGTCTGGGTGAAATCCACATGATTGCCCATCAGCATCACCCCACGTATGAACATCTTTACTATGATATGTTCCAAGGGCAATCATCCTCCTTGCATATTCTTCACTTTTGTCACATTGCTGGAGGCAACAGAAATGGTTAATTCTTGCATTTGTAAGAAAGCTATCACCAAGACATCCACAATCAGCTTTGTGTCTATCACGCTTACACTTGGCAGTCAGTACTGATGGGAACTGATCTTGGTATTTCTTTTTCAAGGTAGCTGAAAACTCCTTTTGCTTGGCTACTTCTTTGCGCTTGTTGTAATGAGCTCTACCCACATGCCTGCCGCACTTGTAAATTTCGCCTTTTGGATGCCACTTGCTAATTGCATATGCTGCACTTGAATCACCATCTTGCCAAATGACTTCAACATCACATTCTTCATCCTTGGCTTCCTTGTAGCACTCTTCAGCCAGACATCCTTTCATTGACTTAGATGTTCCTGCGAATAACTCTTCATCTATAATGTCATCTTTACCTTGCATACATTTATGCCCATACCATAAAATACTCCCAGTGAAGTAATTCTTTATAATGAATGATCCATTTTTACTAAAATATCCACGGTTATGCCATACTCCGTCAGATGTAACAACTGCACGTTTCCAACTTCCTAATTCACTGTCATCCTTTGTCATCATTTGATCCTTTTCTTCGTCACACATCTCATTCAAAATGTCTTGCACATGTGTGTAGAGTAGCTTTATTATCTCATAATAACGATTCTTAGAAATGCAGCTTATTCCCAAGCATTGACGAAGTGTCCTTGAAAACTAAGTATAGCCATGTCCTGTAACAAAAAATGCCAAAGCCAAACCAACTACAGTACGTTTGGAACCTTCAACAAGGGCCGAACCATTAAAATTTACCGTCCGCATATCACAACCATTGCAACTGAATGCAATTTTCAGGGTTCCACCCAGTCCTATTGTCTCGATCTTTGCAACAATGAGAATGCCTGTTGATGGAAAAGAGAAAATGAGATACTAATCAACTTATTGACCTACTGCCAGTCGTGCTGGTACTGAAGTGTCCCAGAAACGTGTACCATTTAATTTCTTAACTTCAAGCAAATTTTTGATAAATACCTCATAAATTTAATAAATCTAATCCAACGTTTCATTTCCTAACAATACATTTTTTATTTATCTATACATGAGATTATGACAAGTTTTAATGACACATCCAAATACAATTTACTGTATTAAAAAAGTTGGTTTGACATAGAGTGTATTTAATAAATAATTAATGCAGTGTTCACCTACCATTACAATCTTTTGTGGAGCATTTAGAAGTCTTGTTGATTTGATTAACAAGGTCAGCAACCTGAGTTGACTCGCACACAAATAATCTCCTTTCTACTTTTTGATTGTCTTTATTAGACCTAACCATGGATGTATTTTCTTCTGAACTTGGCACATAGTCTGAATCATCATCACCTACACTTTCCTCTTCAGACGTTTCAGGAAGGTTGTTGAAGCAATCCTTCAAATTTGTCGATACTAAAGCTTTCTCTACATCCTTCTGCGTTTTGTATTCGGTTTTCCCAGGGCTTACAAAACGTAGTGGCTTGTTATCATATGTTTTCTCCTGCCAGCTGGACGGAAGCGTGAAATTCTTTCGGCTACCAGTCCCTAGACCTCTTGCTGCATGAGCTTTCTTAGATTTTTCTTTTGCTAATAATTTCTCAGCTTTGGAAATTTTTTGTTTCTTTGAAGGGGCCATCTTTGCAAAGGTTTTGGGAATGTAATATTGAATATAAAATTGAAATTTACATGAAGTACCTAGGTTTCCGGATGTTGACAAGCGGAAGTTGAGCAATCATGAGCAACATCCACTGAGCTATACTATATTACTGGAGGACCTGCACAGGGAAAAAAAGTGAAGCCAAAAACATGGCGGATTTCGGCCTTTGCTGATGCCATCTCCATGACAACTGGTCCGTATTTCTCATGGTAATTACCACTGACCAGGCTCGGATCTGAGCCCGCTACAATTTCCACACCCCCCTGGTTTTCTTTAAAAAACTTTAGATTTTTGCAATTTTGCTCGGGTTTTGTAGTATTTTCTCGATATTTGAATCGATTTTTAAAATGTTTTCGAGATATTTTTTCTAAACTTGGTTATTGGTTCAAAGATGTGCAAGTCGTACGAGTTATTCTTCCCGAGAAAGACAACAAAATTCAAACCTCGCTGTCCTCGCAAAATGTGAGCAAAGCCAAAGAGGATATTTGAATCAGCGAGCTATAAACAGGTATTTCATTCAATTTTATTTATGCTTTATCTTATCTCACATAAAATTGGTAGGCTTAACTTAAGCTTGACGATGAAATGCAATCTTTTTGTTAAGAAAACAGCCTTTTGCTGGTGTTTTTGGTGTAATTTGGCAATCTGTTATCTGTATATTTCAAAATTTGGTTGCAGAAACTAAAACTTTTTGTTATCTATACTGTACTTTAGAAAATGGTATTACAGTAACTCCAGACGTTCCTTCAAAGCAAACGGTATGTCAGGTATGTGTTTAAATATATTCAGGTTTTGTGTAATATGTGCCAACTTTGCATACAAGGCTAATCAATGTCAAGATTTTTGGAGTATACTCAAGTATTTCCCAAAATACCCCCCCCCCCCAAGAAAATGTTGCTGCTGTATGATGAAAAGGTAGTACATTGGCCATTTATAACACATTGTTGGGGGGCAGAGGGTTGTAGGGGTGATGAAAGCTCAGGTGGTACATAACATCTATCATAACCTTTATAATTAACCAATTGAGCTGCAATGCACCCCACTGGGGAATCTCTGCAGCCAGGGCCATACACAGCGGGGAGGCAAGGGAGGCAACTGCCCCCCAGAGAAAACTATATTCACGATTTTTAGAATGTCATTAATTATTCTTTGGATATTTGGGACTTTTTCGGCATATAGGCCTTACTCCCCCCCCCCGGTGAAAAAATCCTGTGTACGGCCCTGTCTGCAGCTTAATGGGTTTAACAATTTGGAACACCAACTACTGTATGTTGCTTCCCTTGCACTGGGAAGGTACCTTGTATCCTGGCCACTTTTGATTATTATACCATTAAAAGCCTGATAATTGCACCAATGGTTCTGGTGTCTCTGGTTTGGAGTCACATTGTTTTGTTTTTCCCATCATCATTTTTGTGCTCAAAGTTACAACATATAATATATTTTTGTTTATTCCAGAATTATCTCACAATTGTCATATCATAATTTGGCATTTGTCCTGACTCACTCTGGTTTCCCAATTAACCCATAGAGTGGCTCTGACATTGACAAGTAAAAGTAGGGCAGTACCAAGCAAGATGTATAGAAATTGAAGACACAAAAGCTGGATTAATTTTGAACTATTTTATTTGAACTTCTTCAATACAGTAGAATTATTAACAGTGAATCATTTTAAATTAACACTAAAATTATTGTAATTAATTAAGTGTACATGATGTAGTGGAGCATGTGTTAACTTAATAGTCTTAATTAACATTAAATTAACTTACGGTAATAAAGGTTTATACTTTTATGTTATCATCACCATAATCTATAGACATTTTCAAATTTTGCTTGGGGTGGGGGTGTGCAGAAAAATTCAGGGGTGGAAAGTGAGCACATGGTGTGCTGAGTAAGATGCAGCAGGGTCTACCGGGGTCTACCCCCCCCCCCCCCCCCCCGTTGACAACAATTTCGGAAAGTTTCTCTGGAAATTTTTTTTTTGACAACTCGGGCACAATCCGAAAAAGTCAGGCAAATTTCTTTCTGCCCCCCTAATTTTTTCCTTCCTGTATGCCCATGCTGAGGGTACAGTCACTAGTGGGGACAGAGTTGGAGTAAGGTTGGGGGCACCGACCCCCAGGATATTTCGAGATTTTTGGCCTTGTTTTAAGTCTTATTTAGTTCTTATTTAGTTCAATTATACTGCTGTCATTTAATCAAACCAGCATTTAAATTTCTGGGGTAGGTGCAAATATCTCTAGGTGGGGTGGGAAAACTTTCTGAGGTGGTGAAAATATTTTTGAGGGTGCACACCACCTGCATCCCCCCAAAAAATCCATCTATGATTGCCATCAGATAATTAAGTTACTGTGGTATTAATTATTATGACTTCGCTTTTGGCTATTCTGTATTTTAATGCCTTGTCCCATGTTCTGTGATGCCCACAATATAACCAATAATTCCTGCAAGACAAAAGACAACAATCATATTACACTAATATTATTACACATTTTCCCACCTCAAAAACAGCATTTATTATCAAAATTGTGGATACTTCTTCTCATCCATAAAACCGCATGTGTACTAATTAAAGTATTTTTACATAGTACTGAAATGGTGAATCATTATCCACTAGTTAATCATAGTTTCTCTGTAACTAATTCCAAGAAAGTCAAGACAATGACAGGCAAATATAACAATTTGTTCAAGAGAGAGGAAGGATCCACAGTTAGGTTAATTAATAAAAACATTCTTGCTGTAGTTCTTTGTGTATTCCACTTGGTTGTGGAAATACATGTCCAGTACATGATTTTTTTTGTAAATGATTCTTACGGATTGTTTTTAGGGACAAGTCATTATTAATGCCAGGTAGGGGGCTGGAGGAAATTTTTATGAATAGCAAAAATTTCTCATGACCCCTTATTTTTCTAACAAAATCATTTTATCCCCCCCCCCTTATTGAGGCACCATATTTCATAGCCTCCCACTTCCCCCCAATTCTGAATTCAATGAATCTAAGTCAGTTTCGTAAGCATTTTTCCTGCCCTCATACTCAGTTTACTTGCAGCTGTAAAGAATATTGTAAATATTGAAAATGATAGCCAAGGTGGACAGGAGTGACTTTAGTTTCACAATAGACACAATAGACAATTCAGACTTTATACCTGAATTGGAAAAGTTGTTGGCCCTCAAACAAAAAAACCACACATCAGGCCTAGTCTTTTACTAATTGATAAAAAAACATTTGTGTCTGGTGGAAGCATTATATTGAAAAGATGGCAGAAGAGACTGTCAACAACATGCAGAAACAGAACATGCCAAAGAGGTCCGCTGTGTTAAAAAGCGTAAAACAGGACAACAACTGTCAATTGAATCTTGCATAGTTGCAAATACAGTAGTGCATGACCCTTCAGACAAATTCTACGGTGATGATGAGGATGACAATTTCCATATACAGTAGCTAGAACACAACTTTAGGTTCAATATATTCAATGTATGTATGTATACTGTATATATCCATTACTCTTTTGATATTACATGTTACAAACTATTCCATAGATTTTATTTTTTGCCCCCCCCCCTTTATGTTCAAAATATTTTCTGCCCCCCCCCCACTTCAATGGTTAAAACTTTTTGTGGCCCCTCTAAATTTCCTCCAGCCCCCTACCCGGCATTAATAATGACTGGTCCCTTACTGAGCTAGTGAATTTGATTGCATTTCAGGGCTCTGAGAGGCCTCAGATTTAAAATCTTCTGGGTAAGCGTGCCCCCAGACCCGCTAACAGGCTCATGCCTTTGGCAGCTCCCTCACCGACCCACCCACCAATTTCTTGATGACACAATTGATTGTTTCCCCACTTCTGTTTCAGTCTGGCTATGCCACTGCTCACAACATCAAATTTAACAGTTTCAGGACTATTAAAATCAGGAGTTTTGTTTATATGACAAAATCGGACAAGTCAATTTATTGTATGCGGACCATTAACAGTTGACTTGTTAACAGTACACGACTATATGTTGATGTCATATAACAAGTGAATCCAGTGTAGTGGCCCTGGCTATTTTGCCCTCGTTGCTCCCGTCTCTGGCCTTGTGTTTAATCCTGGTCTATATTAAGTGTATTAAATTAACTAAGAAATTATTTTCACCGGAAAAATCTGTGTAAGACACATCGCCAGGGCTATAACAAAACAGTAAGTCTTATGACCACAAATTTCACAACGTTTTTTATGACTTTAATGTCCAATATTGAAATTAAAAAAATTTCATACTATAGTATCCATCCCATGAATCTTACCTGTGAAACGAATTACTCGTCCTTTTATGTAAAGTAACGTAAATTGTTGCATCAGCAAGTGGAGCAAAACGGCACTTTAATTCCTTCCAAGTTGAAAAAAAACCCAGCAAAATACGAGAAAAATATATTATGTTTTTAACTAAAAACACTGCCAAAACCAGGGGGGTGAAAACGTCGTCTGAAGCTCAGGATCGCGGTTGGTCAGTGGCAATTCTGTGAGAATTACGGACCAGTTGTCATGGAAATGGCGTCAGCAAACGTCGAAATCCGCCATTTTTTTGGCTTCACTTTGATCACTGAACGAAGTATAGGAGCAGGTCCTCCAGTTATTATACAGCTCAGTGGCAACATCAGTTAAAACAAGATGGCTTCCTTAGCAACAAGTAAACAAATAAACTTCCTTAGCAACGAGTAAACAAATAAATCATGGTCCTTATAGCAGGGGCTCAATTGGAGTATACGGTAATCATTCCCGGCAAAAAACATGGTGGAAAACAGCTGAGGTATAATCGAGAGAATTTCAGCTTTTCTTGTTCATTTAGATGCTGCAGACACAATTTGTTTCAAATTTTACGTGTTCACAAAATGTGTGTGTGCACAAAATGTAAGTTTTTGAGAACAATAAAGACTTTTTTCCTACGAATATTTGTATACTATTTGAGAAGGTGCAGTCAAATGCAACCTTCGTAGTGTATGTGTGACAAAGGCAATTACACACAGCTAGGTATGTTCAAAATTTGACCTTGTAGAAGGCATGATTGATCCTTAGTAAATTTTTTTCTAATAACAGTTGCATGATACACTTCCAGAATTTCATTGCTTTTTTGGTTAATGTAACATAGCTGTTCACATTTTCATGTACTTTATAATATCTTATGTGAAAAACTTGAGTGTTGTCTCAATTATTAGTTAATTTGTAACTTTATTAACTTGTTTGCAATATACGAAGGGGAAGCAGAAAGTTTTCTGATACTGAAGACGAGAAAAGTACTTTGATTCCGGAAAGTTCAAGTATTATGCACAACAAGCTGTGGCCGTAGTTTCACATTAAATGGGAGGGAAAATTGCCTGGGCGGATACCTTAAATCTCTTGTTATTATCACTGTTGTAGTATATAGAATATATGCTACATTTTGCAAGGGTTTTTTAGGCATGCCAAAACAATTAGTGCAGTGATTTTTGATAGTAATAGTTTTGTCATAAGACAAGTTCTTTGTATTAGATATTTCATGTACAAATAGCTCCATTTTTCGTAAAATGATCCTGAGGGATCCGTTTTAGTTGGTAATTTCCAAGATGGCTGCCACCCTTTGAGAGAAACGGTGAGTGCCCTTTAGTTTTATTTTCAACTTCATGAATCGTAAACAAACGTTTAATATATGTAAAAATATACTTTAATGATCCCTGAGTTAATTATTAAAGTATTTCATCATGACCTAACAAGGTATTTGTAAAATTATTGATGAATATTATACTATGCACTATTATTCATGAGTTCCTATTCTACTTTTAGAACTGCATTATCATTTCTAAAGAAACATGGAATAAATGTAAACTAAAATTGTAAAAAATTGTATTTTTTTTATCTTAGTTAAAAAAAACTTAAAAGAACTCCCGATGGCCAAAAACTGTTTCAATACTGTTCTTTCCAGAAACAATGTAATAATGTAAGTTTTTAATCATAACATTTTAAATTGAAAATAACAATCGTTTCCAATAAGTAACTTCTCATAATTAAACAGAATTAAAGACAGGCTGAACTACACATGGCTAGAAATCCGAGACAGTCAGCGGTCTGGCACGCGGTTTCATAAATTCAGCAGTTTTGCTTGCTGGCTCGAAGATTTTGAGAACGTCATGCCTTTCTAATTAATATTCACAAAGATGGCGGGTGACTTGCGCCTTCCAAATTCATGCATTTCCCTTTCCATTCTCTTAACTCGTCTTGAACGTTCTTAATTTCAAATAAATGCAATTTTCTGACCCGTTTATCCAAATCTATTTGAACTCTTCCCCTGCTCTTCCTATAAAGTTGTCACCAGCAATTTTTGAAAGTGTTTCATTTAATACTTTTTCTCTCACTAATATATCGGTCCTTATAAAAAAAAATCTGTCAAGGACACAATATTCTAACAGATCGACAAAATTCACGGACTTGCCTTCATTAGCCATATGTCGAAGTTGGATCAGAACTCGATGGCGATGGGCAATCAGAGTTGGTATCTGGGTTGACTCGTCGGCGTCTGGCTTGAATTTGGCTTTATATTAATAGTCTTTAGACCCGTATACAATGCCGTGCCACTCTTTCAAAAGGGGATAAGGTATATCCAGTGAAACAAATTATCTTTCTTTCATTATTCTTAGCTGCATACTGTAAATCCGGTTGACTAAGCATGATTTCATCCTCAATAGACCAGCGATTTTTAGACAAATTGTATGACAGCTCGTACATTCTGCTTGCGAAGAACAATTGCTCTTATCCGTTCAAAACTCTCTCACCAATGATGATGCAATTCTAAGTATGGCCGAGGTTAACAGTACATACGTATCAATTTTGAATAGGTATCGTGTACAGATTTCTGAGACTGCAAACTACCGCAAGTATCTGAAAAAGCTACTTAGTGAACGTCTTCCAAGTGTACAGTTTGTTAAATCCCTGCGCAAAAATGAACCAGATAGGATCGTTCTTCCAAGAGCAGTTATAGCAAAGGAATAGAACTTTGGTGCTCGCTAATGGATAACAGCGAAACGATTGGTTGCTTGAAGAACATAGCAGACATTCTACGTAAAGAGATGATTCAACACATTGGTAAAACGATCAACGGTAGTGGCATCGACACCTGTGCTATCGAATGTGGCATATACACATCTGCAGCTCTTCGCGGGATATACAGTGGCAAGGCATACAAATGAGGTGTTCAGTACCACATTACAACCAGCTTGGCGGCGATCATGATGACGAGGTTTGACACAATTTTTTCAGCACATCTACCTGAAAATCTCCGTGTCCAATGTGGTGCGTTCAAGAAGGCTCTCCACGAATGCAGTCCAGAAATGATAGAGATCTACGACAACATACAGTCATGGTACTCAGCAAATATAAAACCACATGAAGATAAAGAAGACAATGGAGATCTTGCTCAGTTTCTCATGCAGTACCTTGAGCAGGTGAACAGTCTCTTACACATTATCAATGCTTGCTGCTCAGGTGATTGGGAAGGTTACTTGGCTGTGTTAGAAAACGTCATCAAGTATTTTTTCGCCCACAATCTCCTAAACTATGCTCGCCTTATGCCTGTCCATCTTGCTCAGATGAATGCTCTGGAGCAGGACGATCCAGTGACATGGGAAGCGTTAAAGGCAGGAGAGTTTGTTGTTGCAAAATCCGAGGTCCCCTTCACCTGCCTTTTCACCGACCAGACCCTGGAACAAAAGATCAAAGAATTAAGGCGTCACGGCGGAATGGTTGGATTAAGTCAAGATGAAACTGGTTTGGACCGACTAGTTACCACCACACCTCATCTCGCTCGAATTGTTAAGCAGTACCTCAACAGTTTTCCTAAAGAATCCAGTTCTTCTCATCGTAATGAACACTACCAGCTTTCCGGATGTGTTTCTATACGGTCAAGAGAAAACGCTCTAAAGCTTCATCACTCCATCGAATTGCATTGCACAGGGAACCCGTTTAAAGAAATATCTCCTTTGAAGAGCTTGGTTTCATCAGTTCTTGTGCCAGAAGATGCAAAAGAGACGATATTCTGCACTTTGGCGAGAAAGGTCAGAAACGCTTTGACGAGTTCGTCGGTGAATGATTGCTGCCCACATCAAAATTCTCGGTTTGGGACTCAATGAAGAAATTCAAACTAAAGACCTTTTCGAATTGGATGGCAAAAACCAAGGTCCGCGTTGGTGACAAGGTGATCAAGTTATGCGAGGAACGTGAATTGCTCGGCAGATTGCTTATCATCCAAGGAAGCCGACCGGAGCTGGTTTCCAAACTGGAGGAAACTATTGGAAAGTATGAGATGTCAGTGGTTCCATGCTCGCTGTGTGCTGTAGACGGTTCTCTCTATATTCCAACCAACAAAGCCAGTCTGATGCACGCTGTTGAAGCAGTCAAAGCTCGCTTGCTAGTTCAATCTGCCGCTTTTCTCGATGTAGTGCCAGTTACCGGCTGCTTACTCCGAGTTCTAATTGTTGACGCCATGGCTGTGGTTCAGAGTATGAAGAAAACACCGACCATGAAGAATCTTTCTAACCTTCAAGAAGCGTTCATCAAGCGTATCAAGGGGATGGTTGTTGGCTACGATGAATGTCGAGTGGTTTTTGTTTATTAATTCCGCACCAAATCCTAGCTACTATGGCTGACAGTCATTGCTGAGAAATATGTGTTTGGTCACCAGACACAGACGTCCTCCTTATCGACCTGGTCTCCCGTGGTCACCTTGGAACTAACAATCGCCTTTAGTTTCTAACTGGCAAAGGCACGAAGTACAGAGAAATCGATGGATTGAACGAGTACAAGTCATTGGAAGTCATAAATGTCAAGGGCTTATTGGACTCCACAATTTCTCTGGCGCTGACTGGGGTGGAAAATTTGTGGGTATTACCAAGAAGACCTGGGTTGGTGCCTACATGGAACTTGATAAAGATGATCCTTCCATCAACTGCTTTTGGGAACTTGGTGAAGGTCCTATCCCGACTGAATTAGTTGACAATGAACTTCCAGCACAGGTTAAGGATTTAGAGCAGTTCGTATGCCGTGTATACTGCTCAAAAGGTCCCAAAACGTTACCAGCGCTACGGTGGACACTGTTTCGTTCCAAATATTTGGAGGGAGAGATGTTACCACCTACTCGGGCTGCGTTATTACCTCACATTGTACGCGCAATGTGTGATAAATCATACCCTCTCAATTGTCCATCTCTTCCACCTATTGAAGAAAATGGGTGGAGTTTAGACGAAGGAGTTTATGTTCCAGTGAGGTGTCTCACACCTCCCGCACCTCAAGCTGTGATTGAACTAACTAAATGTTCGTGCAAAACAGAATGTAAAGGAAGGTGCAGTTGTTTCAAGAATGGTCTTCCTTGCACTCCTCTTTGTAAATGCTATGTCGGTAATTGTACAAATGTCATAAAGGATGAGGATAACAGACAAGAGGATTATGACGATGAACAACTCGTCATGTAAGTTCAGTATCCCAGTTATAAATAGACTAGTTGGAAACATTTTTGTTCATATACGTGTTGAGAGAGCACATGTGAGACGTACAGACAAAAGATAATGCAAATTCAATTAATCAACAAACTGTTATGTAGCAAAATTTACATAAATTCGTATTATTTAAAGAGATTTAAGCTCCTATGCTTCAACATGTTGAACAAGAAGAAATTCGCGTTGAATTTGCATTTTAGTTTTCAGTGATGATTAGCATTTCAAAGCCTTACGGGACTAACTTTGAAAGAAAAAATGTCCAGTTTCCATCGGCGGAAAATTGTGATATTTATGGACTTTTTTTGTCAAAGCAATACTCCTTCATTTTCCAACTAAATGACGTGTACAGCATGTCATTTGAAAGGTAAGTAAATTAACTTAACAATGGTGTAAAAATCAACCGAATTTGTCAAATATATTCTGCGTTATTACACGCCAAATTTGGATTCGAATTATTTTGATACACACTGTATATTAATTTTTGCCATGTTTTGATAAAATTATTTAGTTTGCAGCTACGAGATCCATGGTTCTGAATTTCTGAACCCTCTATACACTACATATGAATGTTTATCTGTCCTATTCTGCTAATTTTCTAGTTTTCAAGAGATCCAGGGTTCAGAACTTCTGAACCTTCCATATATGAGTTTTTGTTTGTCATATGCTAATTATTTAGTTTCAAGAAGATGCAGGGTTCATAATTTCTGAACCTTCTATATTTAGTTTGCAAGAGATACAGAGTTCAGAATTTCTGAACCTTGCATATGAATTTTCTTTGACAAACGCTGATAATTATTTACTTTTTAGGAGATCCAAGGTTCAGAATTTCTGAACCTTCTTTGTGAATTTTTATCTGCCATATCTGCTAATTTTCTAGTTTTCAATTAGAGATGCAGAGTTCAGAAACCAAAAATATATCAAGCCAAAAATATATCTAGTAGTTTATATCAGAAGCATTGAATTGAAGGTACTTTCCAGATCACTTATTTTCAGTTTTCGTTGCCTTTTCTCTGTTTTTCGTATTCCTGTATCTTTTCAAGTTCTTTCTCGACTTTTTTGCGCGTTTTTTTTCTTTTCGGAACAAAAACAAATTTGACGAATTGGCAGTCATTTAATTTATACTGGTTTTTTTTCCCTTGGTCTATTCTATGGCTCGGGGACTAACGGACCGAGTTGGCTCTCCCAGAACAGTTTATTAGCTCAAGATTAGAATTTAAATGTCTCGATATTGAAGAAACTAGATTTGGTTTCGAAATATCAAAACCTCTTGAAATACCACTTCTCAATGACCTGCTCCAAACTTGCCCTGTGGCTCAGTCGTTAGGGCATCGGACCAGTAAACCGATGGTCGTGGGTTTGAATCCCGGCCTGGCGAATTATAGTTTTCTTTAGTTGGCCTGTATGGTTCGTCGCTCGATGAAGCTCCTAATATCATAATTGCAAACAACCCGAGTTCACTCATCCACAACAGATGTTTATTAGAAGTAATCACCCGGGAAGGAGTGCAATTAATCGTTAACACTACGAAAGATATTTAAAAAATATGCCAAAATTTTACGAGCCATACATACTTTTTTGCCATACCATCTTCTTTGGACCAAAATTTATTTAAATTCGTCCACGTTTGTCATTTTTACAAGATCTGAAATTTCTCCGATTTGATTTTCCGCTCCCCCAGCCATCACGAAAATCACTAATTGCACTTCTGGAGAGTGCTATTAATGATGGTAATAGAACGAATAGGAGTGCTATTAATGCCATAATCATACGAGTGATTACAAAGTCAACCGACCGCGTAGCGGGAGGTTGATTTGTTAATCACGAGTATGATTATGGCATTAATAGTACGACTTAATTCGTTCTATAACTTATTAATTATTTATCTTCTGTAATCAGACTGTTTAAGGGGGAAAATACCATTTGTTGAAATTAAATATTATTATTAAATTTTATCACAACAATTCTTCGTGAAATAGTACAATTTTGAATTATTATTTATCAAATATAATCAAATTAACAAAATTATTAACTTCCGGGCATTATTTCCGGTATAATCGCATGACAACAATTGTTTGAATTATTCAACACACAATTGGGAAGCCATTTTGTATATTCATAACGTGTTCAAAATAAAGAAGTTCTTTAGTTCAGTTAATCATCTGAATTTGATTGAAATGTAATTCCTGGTTGTGTATAGTTCGGTGTCTTCTGCTGGAAGAAAAGGTAGGTTATTTTGGTCAGAAAATATATAATTTAACAGCTCTCGGAAACAAGATCGGCATTCGGCAAATATGCCAACCTTTGGCGACCTATTAAAATGCCGATCTATCAACCTCCCAGGTTTGCCGACCTTAATTCAGCCAAAGTAAGAAACTTTTTTGGTGCTAACAGCTGTTAAAAAGTCAGCGATTATAGAATTCGATACACTTTGGTGTAAGGTATGATATAATTTAGATAAGACTAAAAAAAAACCTTCGTGACATTTATACTTTTCAATGATTTGTAAATACGTGATACTAGTGCAGGCTACTAGTGCTCCAAAACACGGAAACAGATTTAAAAAAATGCCCAGCTAGGTCAGATTTAGGTCGGCATTTCCGATCTCAATTTTGACGGTTTTCGAGGGCTGATTTAAAAAATAAAAGGTCAAAATTTTCAAAATTTGTGAATTCCACCATTTTGAAATTTTTGCAGCAATAAAGAAAATAAAATTCAAAGTTTGTGTCCTGAATGCTGATTGGCTAGTTGTAAATACTAGACTGATTGTCATTGGTTGTAGACTCAGTGCGATTACACTCACGGCGTTTAAGGCATGGCTGTCAGTGCATATGACTGTAGCATATAGTGTGTTAGCAAACTTTTTTAGTGTTACCAAACGGTTGAATGAAATACAGTCAAAATTGGCAAACACACTAATTATAACTTGGAGGACATATGTTATTAACCAGTTACCATAGCAACGATCACGTGACTTTTTATCCCATGTTTTATACTACAATACAATAAAGTAAGATTAACGCCATTGAGGCAGCTGGTTTTAAGGTCTAGCTTAACATGAATGAAACTACCTGATGGTTTGTCAAAGAGGTGATAATTATCTAACTTAAAACTTGGTCGTGCTGATACAGTACGCTGCAAAATGCTCATTAACATGTTGAAAAACTCAAATTTCATATTTGTGATAGTTTTTTTTACGGTTTTAATAGTTTAATACTCATGTTTAAAGTTTGATAACAAAATTTTGTAATAAAATAAACTTATTTAATTAAAAAACTCATTGCATTGTGTGTTTGTGCGAGTACTCAAAAGCGTTATATTCTATTTGGCATCATCTTTAATTTTGGCTGCCAATGTTGAATAAATTGGCGGCCGTATGTTGCTGTGGGGTTTCCCCTATGGCTTTCCCCTTTGACTACTATCTCCATGACAACAACGCCAAAGGAAATTTCATTCGAAGATATAGATCATTTTTAGTCTTTTAAACCCAAATATTTCATGTATAGAAATAAATTCAAACAAAACCCAACTCTATTTGACTCTGAACAAAATCATCAACGGTAAAAATCTTAAAATAAACTAGAACCCGAAATAAGAGCCGAATGAAATACCGATCGAATAATATACTAACTGATACGTATAGTATATAATATAAATTTTATAAAAAGATGAGACGTTCTCTGGTTAATATATTTATTAATCACAAGTTTTCGGCTACCAGTCTGTAGCCTTCAACGGGTGTATATACAATATGATATAAGGACGCTAAAACTATATAATATACATGTAAATTGAAACTAAACGTGACGTATGTGTATGTGCAATCTGAAATATCATATTACCTATCTTATTATATCACCTATCATATTTCAGATTGCACACACATACGTCACGTTTAGTTTCAATTTACATGTATATTATATAGTTTTAGCGTCCTTATATCATATTGTATATACACCCGTTGAAGGCTACAGACTGGTAGCCGAAAGCTTGTGATTAATAAATATATTAACCAGAGAACGTCTCATCTTTTCATTATGTCTAATCCTGGTTACACATCTAAGATTTTTAATGATAAATTTTATAGTAATTACATGGCAAAACAAACAACTTTTCAACAGTATTAACGCAAAATATAATGTGAATACAATCATTAATATTTCTAAAATACATAGGCAAAGTAATGGCAAAAACAAAGAGGTTTATATAATGTCAAATTAAAATCCACGAAATTCGCGGGAATTTTAAAGCTATACATGACAGTGTATATACTATAAACAAACAAGACAAGGTAGTCTAAGTAGTCTAAAGAATGCTCTTGACCTAAGCAGAAATGTATGGCACTTTTCCATGCCCAGACACATGTGGGTTTGCGAAAGTTGCTGCTTTAGAAATCGAAGAGCAGATCAGAAACAATGCAAAGGAAAATAGTGAATTAACCAAGGGTAAGGAAAACGAATACAAACTAAAACAAAAACAATACCAGCAATTTAATACTAATTTCAACAACAAGGAAGATGGGAGGAACAACTTTGAGATTAACTTCACCAAGTACAATACAAACCTGATTAAGTTGCGAAGCATTGCTGGGAAGTGGAATTTCCGCAAGTCTAATGAGAAAAAGCAGTATTTAGACACGTTTTCTTTGAAGCAATGGAAGAAGCTGTCTGAGGTAAGAAAGAGTGAACACCGACTGGCAAACTGCAAGGGGTGTGCTGTGAGATATGCAGCAGTCCAAGCATTTTTTCCAGTCAAATCACAGTTTTTGAAAGGAAGAATAAAGTCAAGTCCAGTGTTATGTGCACATATAATGAAGCTGCAAAACTGAAATCCCCATGTGTAAAACCTAAGCGAAGCGATGTGAAAAAATCAGCAAAGGCAATATATGAAGCAATATCCCCAACTTTCAAGAATACATTTGGCAGAAGTTTTGCAGAGGCTTTGGCTTCTGTTCCAGAATCACAGCTGCAAACCAAAAAGGTTCCGAACAAGTATAATCAGGAAAAGCATAAACTCAGAAGGGAACAACAATACAGAAAAGCTAAGGAAAATATTGAGGAGCAAATGAAGGACACTGCATTCTTAAGGTAATTTTAAATAAGCCAAGGCAATTGCTACTGCATATGGAATGGTAGTATGACCAAGGCCGCCAAAGGGTTAGACTGCAAATAGTCATGTATTTTGCTTTTATCTCACTATAAAGATGGTGTATTTATTTAGTGACTAATGGCTATAGAGCCAGACCTAGTTCTTGATTAAAATTTTGACAAGGCCACTGTACAATGTAATATATTCTACCACCTCATTTCATAATATGTTTTTAAATTATATGGTAGTGGTCAATCTGTAAAGCAATGGCAAAGGAATAGGCTTGCATTATGCTTTGAACCAAAGGCAGCAGCTACAGCTCGAGCTGAAAAATCTTTGGAGGAAAGCAAGAAGCCAAAGGATCATGTTGGAAATTTAGAAGCGATGACATGGGATAAAAATCAACTGCGGGCTGAGGTCGAAGGATATGAAGATGGTCATGTAGTCAACTGGTCCAACCTAGCAGCACGGTACAATGTGTGCAATAAGAGTGGTCAACTAGCCAAGAATCGTGGGCAAATCATAAAATCTTGGTTGATTTCAGAGGGAGTGGACGTAACTCGTTTTAGCACTCAATGCAGAAAAAGCAATGGCATTCCAATTTCAAGGCGAAAGAAGAGACGGATTGTCGGAGGAGAAATATCATTCCCCACTGAAGTGCACCCCAAAGTGCTAAAACAAATGCTTCAGGAGAAGCTTCAGATTGGGACATATTCAATTGGTGAAAGAATTGTTCCAACAAAAGTATGCAGTGGTGTTAGATATCTATAATATAACTTTACTTAATACCGTATATTATATTTAACCAATTAGGCCTACATCTTTGCCAAGTATATTACATTGCACTTTTTATGCATTGCATATGTATAAAAATTTATAATTTAATTTTAATGTTTTGTTTAGTATGAAAAGCTTATTCTTTCAAAAGACCTGGAAATCAAACGAGTTGATTTCATAACCGAAGGAAGAAAAATCCCATTGAGAAGAATCCGGGAAGACTTGCTCCAAAAACATAGTCAGTACCTTAGAAAGAACAACAATAATCATTATCTAGAAATGTCCCCAACACAAGTGATGGAGAGGTTAAAAGTTCTTGGTGAGCTGGAAGAAAATAAAGGTCTTGATGAAATGGCAATGAGAGAAAAATTGGCAACCTTGGAACAGACAAGAAATCTTATGGTTTGGTTGGATAACTCAACTGTTGCAAACCATGGGTATTTAGTTTGCCTTGTGACCTGTTTATATGATCCAGCTGTTTTTCACACTCCTGAAGAATACAAGGAAAAAACAAGCAAAAGTGTTGACATTCAAAAAGAAATTGAAAATCCAGAGGTTCACATTATTGCAAGATGCAGCAGTGCTGATCAGGAGCAACTTACTTATGCTGAAACACGTGTCGAGTGTATTCAGGAATTGAAAAACAATTGCAAGATTGATGATGTTGAATACAACGACAAGCTACGATTTTCCCATGGAGACAGTCCTGCAAGAGCCCATGAAGCGGGTCAACAGAAGGGGGGAAATTATTTTTGTTCAACCTGTGGAGTCCATTGTGATATGACAGATGATCTGGCCCATGTTCTAAACTGCAAAGTAGAAACACTGGAAACAAGACAAAGTGCCATTATAAGTGGTAAGATAGCGCTTAAAAACTCAAAAAACCAGAAGGCAAAACCACTCGGGAACCTAACAAAGCAGGAACTAGAACAAGAATTAGCATCTCGTCAAATATTTGATGATGGAAACAAGGCCGATCTTCAAAACCTGCTTAGCAGGAAAATGCGTGGCAAGCAACGAGTACCAACACTGCTATTTCACAATCCACAACAAAAGTTGAGTGAACCGATTATGAAATTCTGCCTTGTGAGCCACTTCATGATGTGGGGCATCATATCGAATGGGGCATCACTTCATGATGTGGGGCATCACTTCATGATGTGGGGCAAACATCTTCACTGAACTGCCTCATCATTTAAATGACAAAGAATCAAAAGCAATGGTAGAATCACTTGAATTGTGCCTGGGAAGTAAAGACCAAAAACGGACAGCAGATTACAGAAGTGCAGTGGTAAAAACAGCTGGTCACCTTTCACAACAGAATGTCTTGTCCGAAAAACCACATGCTATTATCAATACTCTTGTTGAAATGCAGAGGATTCTATATGCTGCTGAATATCTGCGATGCCCATCACTCATTCTCCGATACTACAATCAGTCATGGCTGCACTCAATTCTGTTGAAAGAACTAATTCAAAAACCCAAGAAGTTAACACGGCGAAAGTTGTTTGGTGTCTACTTTCACAACCTAAGCGCACATGCAGGTATGATGCTTCGTCTGATTTCTGGACAAACTTCTAATGCAGAGCAACAAGAGAGAATTTTCAACCACATCAAGCGAATTACCAGATCAACAAGCAATTATCACCCAGAGCAAATCATTCCAAATCTACTTGTTCGTCTTCAAGCAGAGAAAGAGATGCATCTACATGCTGATGATGCAAGTCAACAACAAGCAGAAATAAGCAAGCTTGCAGAACTGCTCCCCTCAAATACCAACACCAGCATCTCACTGAAATTGATCAGAAGACATCCAAGAGATTGGCAAGCTCATCTACAGTGTATCAGCGATTTCCTCATTGAGGGAGAGGGTGTTTGGTGGAGAAGAAATGAAGACACAATTGTATTCAATGACATCGCAAACAGCCCAAGTGCGGACAACCATGGCCCTCAACTCCACCATTTCAGGTCCAGTTCCTAAATGAAAGAGGAAACGTATTTGCAGCGGTGTTGGCAAAAGTGCCTCGACGAAGAAATTCCCATACCTGCAGAGATTGTCCGGGTTGATGAGAAAGATGACAGAGTAAATGTCCGGCACACAACATTCATAAGTTTCAATGAATCAGAAGATACTCAAGATGATCTATCTACACCAGAAAATATCATTGACATTCAACCAGCCAATGAAGAAATAATTACTCTGGCAGAAGAACCTGTAGATTTGCAAGTTGAAGGTACAAGTCATGAGAAATCAAGCATCAATGACATTTCAGTTACTCAAAAGCTTACTTCTGAGCAGACCAATGTTAAAAGTGTTTACCCTTTGGTAACTTGTATGGCAAAGTCAGCAGCGATTGTGCTGGGAAACGTGCCAGAGGTTCAAAAGGTTGATCAAAAACGGGTGTTACTCAAACAAATTTTGAAAGCTCACCAAGGCCAATGCAATGAAATGAGAAAGCAAGAAGCAATAAAGGAATACGAGAACAGTCTACTACTAATAAAGTCCAAAGTTTTGGCAGAACACAGCAAAACCAAAAGACAGTTTGCAGAATGGGAAAAGTCATACTATGAAAAGCATAATCTTAAAGCACCAACTTATGAAATTATGAAAAATGATGAAGAAGCATCAGTATTGTTAAGAAAACTGAAAAATGCGAAGGCATTACTCAAAGAGTGGAACATCAACTTTTAAATATTTGTTAATAAATTTTTGAGATTTCTCTGTCAATATTATAAAGTATACAGTAAGCCTATAGGGTACCGGTTGTTCTGAAGCAAAATTCGACCGTTGAAACTTAGTTTGACTGCCTGCTAGGAACAAGCAGCGTAGCTACAGAAACATTCAACATATTTACAGTATATCTAAATGTTAAATGGTAATATTTAGTGAGTTTAAGATATCCCGGTTTCTGTGTACGAGTACGAGTACTGTCAGCTTGTTTTACTAGTTTTTACTCATGTCTGTAATTCAATCATATTTTTTCTATTTTCTTACAATAGACAATGATATAATGCGAAAAATGTGCACCTTAATACGAGTAAAAGTTCAGACATCGACGAAAATATTGCTAACCAAAATCATGCTACCAAAACCCGTACACTGAAACCGGGGTATCTTGATGATGTTAAAAATACTCGCACGTACGCACAGCATGCTATATTTTGTGCGAGAATATACAGTATTTTCCGTAGTATTAAAGATTAAAGCATACCTTTTCAGCGGCGTTCTCGCGATCTGCCGTATCTGTTTGCCAGATATTTTTATAAAATTATGTATCCAGCTCTAAAATCAACAAATACCATCTGTCGTAAACGTCTATCCTGGTCCACATGCATACATGGTCTCTCAGACACGTCAGAGACATTGCACAAGTATTAGTCCATAATTGTTAGCGATACACATATATATTCCACACATTTGCGACGAAAACAAGCGAACAATCCTTTAAATACTTTGTCAAATAGACAAACATTTCTTGGCATTCTGTGGTAAAAGTCCTCTTTATACATTTTTCGTTCACATGTACACGCCATTTCACTGACAAATTCTAACAAATATTTATATTTTAAATAATTCAAAATAACAAATTAGGGGTATGACTAAAGGGAGAGTTACCAACCGGAGAGTTATATCGAAGAGTTATGATTTCGGAGAGTTATTTTCAAACCACGCCCACTTTCCCCAATGACCACACCCAATTTCGTAACTCTCCCGACGTTTCCCTGAAGTAACATGAGACAGTTATGTTTGACATAACTCTCTCTCGTTAACTTTATGAAGATTTTAGAGAGTTATCATTTTTTATAACTCACTGCGTTCACGATTGTGGCAATGAAGAGAGTTATGTCAGTTTCTTGAGAAAACCTTTGAATAGTAAAGCTTGTTTCTTCAGATTTTCATCTTATATTTTGGTATTTCAGTTTGTAGCGTGTTAATAGCGTGCGTCCAGACAGGAAATAGTACACTTGACTCGGTCAAAACAATGCTAGCCGCAGAAGGGGGTCAAAGTACCCCCAGAAGCATGTTTTGACGTGTATTTGGCAGTAAATACAGTAAGCATAGTTGCAAGAAAATTTAAAAAATTGCGAAAATTGAAACTTTCAGAAATTCAGGTTTTGCAAATATTTTCCCATAACAGCCAATATAGGGCATTACATTGGAAAGGTTTTCTGGTTCTATCTAAGGCCCGTTTCAGACGGCGTATACTCTTCATGTGCCGAACTTAATTGTATTAGATGCGACACAAGAACGGCAGTGATTCAAGCGGCGTACCAAATACAATGTTAATATGTTATTGACAATGTCGGGGTGCATTCGCCAGCGAAAGCTAAATAAAATTCAAAATAAATAAGTTTACTTTTAGACTAAAGCTGAGTTAAGTTTGGCACATGAGTGGAGCGGCGTATGAATCAATGTCGCTCCAACGTCGCATAATGCGACAAGCTCTGCCGAACTTGTGTCGAACTTTTGCCGCTCCAAATTCTGCCGTACTTAGGCCTGTTTCAAACGTCGCGCTTCTCATGTGCCGAACGCATTAAAAACAATAGCTATTCAGCTGAAATGCCTCATTATCTACTGTTTCTAATGCGTTCGGCACATGAGAAGCGCTACGTTTGAAGCAGGCCTAAATTGATTCATACGTCGCTCTTCTGCTGTACCTAATTCATCAATTAAGTTCGGCACATGAGAAGTACACCGTTTGAAACGGGCCTAATACGAGAGCTGTATCTGAATGTTGGGCTTTGTAGGTAATCCAAGTGAACATGTATAATAATTTATTTACTCGTACTCGCTTCACTTGGTAAGTACTAAAATACTACTAGTTTCTACTAGCGTGGAATATTAAAGCTGGAACTTGAGAAGAAAGTAAATTCACAATAATTTACTAAAATGTGGAAGTTTTTTTCAAAAAACTGACATAACTCTCTTCATTGCCACAATCGTGAACGCAGTGAGTTATAAAAAATGATAACTCTCTAACATATTCACAATGTTAACGAGAGAGAGTTACGTCAAACATAACTCTCTCATGTTAGTTCAAGGAAACATCGGGAGAGTTATGAAATTGGGTGTGGTCGTTGGGGTAAAGTGGGCGTGGTTCGAACATAACTCTCCGAAATCATAACTCTCCGAGATAACTCTCCACTTCATAACTCTCCGTTTAGCCGGTCCCACAAATTAGTAATAACAAGCGACCACTCGAAGCCGTCACGCATGATCCACGCACAATCCACGAACACGAAGCGCGCGAGCAGTGGCGACCGCGGGGGGGGGGGGTAAAATTTAATTTTAATGCCATGCCTTAAACATAGAATAAGAAATGAATAGAAGGGCAACTGAGTGTCGGATCCTTTGAAGTCGGTGTCCTCGCGCATGTCGTGTCGCGCATACCGGAAATTCGACGGCCGCCATTACTCTGGCCAGTAACTTGCTGCCAGAATAAATATAAATTGTATTGGCGAGCGTTATATTTTTCGTTTTAAAAGCATACCGTGGGAGTTTATGTTCAAAATTTTGGTTTTAGTGACCAGAGCATTCAAGGAGAAGGTATGTAATTTCAATTTATTTATTTAAAAGTCAAACTAAATGCTCGTAGGCGCATTTTTTTCTTCGATATTGTTCATGGAGAACCGAACCCAGTAGCTATCGCCTATCGTACAATAGCACAGACAGTAGTTTTAATATAGTTTTAAGTTTCAATGCTTTCTGTCTATCTTTAGCAATGATTGAATAACAAATCATAAATGGACATCCTTATTGTGCCTCAAATGGCTCAATATCCTAAACTATTAATAAGAGTGTCGAAATGTTTGGCTCGTGAACAGTAACTTTTATAGTCATTTTTATTAAGGCTATATTTACTATTTAGTCTTGTAAACCAGAGCAGCGTTAGCACATGTCCAGTATATTATTTAAAGATGTGTGACTTTGATGTTATTTAAAGATGTATGATTTTCTGTCCTTTGGTTTAGATGTGGCTAAGTCTCTGTTGGCAAATTTTATGCTGTAGTATATTCGCATTCTTATAAACAGCTTCTGCAAATATTCCAGGGAAAATTCTGGACACATTGGATGGTGATGGGAATGGCTTTGATCATCGTCAAAATGTTGGCTCCAACACCAGGGCACTTTGTGTAAACAGAAAATTGATCAAAATGTATTCCTATTAAAACAAGAATTCTGATTTACAAGATTGTATGGATATAGTACATCTAATGCAATGGGATGGAATCTGCCATGTATTAAATTACTGTACTTGTTTCCAATCTACCATATGGATGTGAGGAACATTGTATGTCATGATATTACAAACTTGTATATGTACAGCAACTTAACAAGTTATTGGACAAAAATGATGGCCAACAATAGACACTATGAGCACTGAATGAATACGATAATCTACATATTGGGCAGAAAACAATGGTAACACTTGTTTACCAAATGAACACAAACAAAAGGCCGTCATTACTTGCAACGAACTTAATCATACCATGTTAAAAGACATCTATCCTCCTCCGCAGGCCATACAGCCCGTAATGAGTATGCCCGTTCACAGGTTGAAATTTGAGACGAAGGCTTTTTTGTTTCCCACCAATTTTCTTTTCTTGAAAGGCCTGCAGAGGAGGTAGGAGTAGGACATCTATTTGTTCTTCCTAATTACTTTCTTCCTAATTATGTTCTGCCTAATTATTTTCATAAGTGGAGACTAATTAAGTGATGATTTTTATTGACATTGTATAAATATAAAATTCCGAAGTACACTTTACAGTATGTAGTAATTATTGCATGTTGTAATTTCAATACTTTTTTGAACAAAATAAATTCATTCATACAGTGTGTATAATGCAATTTGAGGCAGCACTTGCCTTGCGATAGTAACTTCTAGTATGTTTCTTTATCGATATACAAAGCAGCGGAAAACATTCAAATTTTTTCATCTGTCTTTACAGAAAATGTGGACCTACCTTTTGCTATGTATAGCCGGGAAGCGAAAAAAACTTAGTTCAGGATGCAATCCTTTGGTATTTGAGCAATTAACTGCCAAGCAGTATGTCCTGCTACCCCTTTTCTGCTTTGTTTTACTACTACTCATATTTTAAAAACACTTATAATAAGCAGAAAAGCACTTTGAAAACTGTTTGGAAATACTTCGAACTATCACAGAAGAAACGCACATGACATGAACAAGCCCTTTAAATGCAGGTGTTTCAGGTGGTTATAGGAATCCTGGATTCCAGGTTGAACCCTCAGTTAAGTAGGGGAACCTGAGGTTTTAAAGTAAATATATACACACTGTATTGTAAGTGGTGGCATCACCATGGCAGATATATATTATATGACAATTAAGTGCAGTTTTCAGAACAAATTGTGTACACCACTGTATGTATTATTTTTATTTAGGACACAAAATGCACACTGTACAATATTAAAATCATCAACACAAGTCACAAATCAATTGTATCTTTTCATATTCAAATGTTATTTCATTTAATACTATACAATAATAGTCCATTCATTTACTAAGTTTTAAAAATATGATACCATTAGATATTATAGCTGTTATACAATTGCTATGTTAATTATATTAATGCTATTCATACATAAATCAATGAGCAGTATGGTATTGAAATGAAAGAAGCAAACAGGATCAGCTGCAATGAAACTAAAAAGAAAACAAAGTGATAGCAAGGTCAGCAGCTGGTGCTGTGTAGGTGACATGTACACTAATGACAATTAAACAAATTTAAATAAAATTTAAAAACCCATGTAGTAGGGCAGCAATCAAATATAAACCTTGCACATATTGACACTTTACAAAAAATGCATCTCAAAATTTCTGGTAACTCCATGAAATAGGATTTAATTTGAACCTAAAGTAATCACTGCAAATAAGAACGAAATAGAAATAATTCTTCATTAGGATCTGGATCGACATGCAGTTTTACTATTAAAGCACTATTTCGCTCAGCAAATGTCTTTTATCATAGTAACATGATTGTTTTTGCTTTTTACAAATAATTTCTTATCCAAGACATCGAAAATTTATGTTCAAAAGTAAAGTGGCATAGCGTGTTTGAGTCAAAACACAAATTAATAAATAAAACCTCGATGTCCTTCCGAAATACAAATGGTTATCAGTTATTTTATGACAATAATGATAAGAAATGATAAGAAATATTAGGAACAGGATAACCAATTGACTTAGATGAGTGTTCATATAAACTTCACACAAAATAGAATTGTATCGAACTGTAAACATTGTTGTATAAAATGTTGATTTTTGCTCGAGAAAAGTATCTAAATTCCTGTAGACGGCCCAGTCGTTATGTCTTACCTTATATATTTCGATTTCTGTACAAAATTCCCACAGTCGTTGAAAAACATGGTCAAAAAACGCGATTTTCCAGCCCAAACATCTTCTTTCGCTATATATTCTATAGTACGCCAGCAGCCAGTTACTGGCCAGAGTAATGGCGGACCTCACGCATGCGCATAAAAAATTACGGACGCGTTGCACCCGCCAGTTGCCCTTCTATTCATTTCTTATTCTATGCCTTAAACGCCGTGAGCAGCTCACAACAGGTGCGATTAATGCTCAAATCGCACTCCTGTAAACTAATGAAATTGCAGTATTTGCCACTGATTACAGAAGATAAATAATTAATGAAATAATTGTACTCCTCTTTACCAATCAGATTGCAGTAATTTTGTCATGTATACAATAATAAATTATATACCTATAAATTATTCAATAGCTATGTGCACCGTTAAAACTTCAAAAGTGATTGGGGCACTTGCCGTTTTCAGTCATCAGTGGATATATGGAAAATATTACAAATGTTTATATCTCTTTCCACCTCCCATATTGCTTACCCGAGTACACACCAAATTAAGATACTAACCGAGTTTCATCATAGGCAATGGGCGGAGAGGGGGTTGAAAATGTTTGTGAAAATTATGGGAATTTCGGCCATCTGTCCCAACAAACTTGGGCATTAAACTTGAACGACAAAGTAATTGATGAACAGTCAAAACAAACCTATCCAATTTTTCAGGATTACCCATTCAAGTCAATTCCTGAAATAATTTTCTAGTTTTTTTTCATGTTATTTTAATCCTTTGCCTCTTTTACTTCTGGCAAACAGGCAGATTATTGTGATCAACGAGAATTTCAATCTTGGATCATAAACCCACAAACATAGCCATGCATACAAGGTTGTTGATGAACTTTAGATTTCGCTAATGCTTCTCTTTTCCTTTCCTTTCCCGGGCGTGAATATAGCTGAGCGGAATTACACAGTACCCTGGAAAAAACCCGCAATTTGAAGAGCTGTACTTTAATCTTTTATTAATTAATTAAATTGCTGAATACTCGACATTGGAAATACTTATTAATGCTGATTGCAATTTACAACGCGCATCATATCTAATGATATAAAACGGTATCAAATAACTTGGGAAAAAAAGCAATAAAGTTTAGAAGCCAGATAAAATGAAAAATGTTCAAAGATTAAAGTTTTGTTGTCGTTTCCCGAAGGAATAATCCACAGGATCTTCGCCACAAGCAGAGCAAAAGAAGTTAAGCTCGTTGATAATCCCTTCGTTGAAAATTAACTGGCAATTTTCCTTATCATCCTTATTGAAAAATTTATTGACAAAACTCTGAGTAGTTGAAATGCCACTGGGTAAGTTGTCATCCACCCATGATCGATAAACGTTGTTTTGTGAGACTGATTCATTAAGTTGTGTTGCCACCCACGGCCACAGCATGTCACATGGGAGAATACCAATTGACAGATATTTAGCACTTGTATTTGCAAGATTATTTGCAAATGCCACATATGTTGCAACAGCTGCACCCATTTTCACGCTCTCTGAACTCTTAAGATTCCAATTCTGGTAAAAGTAACTGCTGTAACTTGTATAGCTTTCAGACCGGCCACGATAGAATAAGGCAAAATCTCAGGGTTATTTATCTTGCATGTTCGTAGCGGCCATATCGAAAGCTTTCACATAATCAAAAATAAAAGCCGCGTCTTGTACCATGTAACCACCATATTCTTCTGGAGTAAGGGTATTGTTAACCATCTTTTTAAAAAATAATGTATTTAACACAGCTTCGCGAACTGTAACGCTGAAAGTGTCTTCAAACAACGACTCGCTGAAAGTGGTTGCGGGATCTGTATAAATACAGTTGTGTAAAATTAATGTAGGGAGCTTAGAGCTAATTAATTACTTATGAAATAAAATATATTACGACTGATTTTTTAACACTGCACGAAAAATTGGATTTACTACTATAAGAAACCCAGAGTAAACTTGTAGTAAATGCCGCAGTTGCTTACATGTACCGCAAACATGGCATTTAGGCCTACTACTAGTTTACTCTGTGTTTTCTATAATGGTAAATCCAATTTTTCGTGCCATGGCCAGAAACACAGGACATAATTTATTCTATCTCCATAAGAATTTACATATCACTTTGAAATATAGCTTTAACTGTAAACAGTAAATTCTACAATGCGATTGGGTAAATCGCAAAGTTTAAGAATATGGCAGATCGTTTCCAACTTGCCGCAATCACTGGTGTTAAATCGAAGTTTGTCGATGTATCTAGTGTAATTTTGGCCTACATTAAGTTGCTGGTTTTCCTGCTATTAGTTTATTCCTATAGTGCGGTATTCTTATATAGAGCTTAATAAACATATGTAGTTAAAATCAACCTCTGTACTAATATGCAAAAAACAGGACTGGTATACTGAGTGACTTAAATCAGTCTAATTTTACACTAAATTCATCGACAGGCTTTGTTTTGCATCCAGCGATTGCGCCAAATTCTAAAGGATCTACTATATTCTCCGATTTTACGTTTACAACATTGCGTTGTACAATCTAGTATATAATGTTAGAGCCATGTTTGAAAGTGATATATAAATTAGTAAGGAAGTACAATAAATTATGTCCGGGATTTCTGGCCATAAGTGGAACCTGTTATGAACATAAGAGCAGCTGATGCTGGGTGCACTGCCTCAGGTTTACTCGAGTATAAATATTTGTGCTTTATTATATGGCAAGCATTTGTTTTGATGAATCGCGCAATTTGATTGGCTGCTGACGAGGAAGGATTTTCCCGTATTGCCCACCGGCAATACGCAATTTTTATTGCCCTGCGACGAGGGCCGAGTTTCAAACTGCAAAAAGTGTCTAAAAGTCTTTCAAAACTATTCAAAACGAATAAAAATAAACCTAAACTAAAGAAAAGGAGCACCTTCTGTGGTTCAAGAACTTTCTCAATACGTTTTTGTTAGCGAAAGTCGAAATTACAAGGTAAATTTTACAATGTTTATAACTATTAAAGCAGTCAGGAATAGCTGTGTTTTTGACTATGTCAAGACCTGCAAATTTTATTTGCAGATAGCCAGTAGGAATTTGACACCATTCTATATAAAAAATACAACTAAAGCAGCCACAGATTTGTAATTTTCCCCTGAAAATTTATGTTTTTTTCATATTTGTTGTCTTTGATTAAATGACAAAATATCTCGTATTTTTCTTGAAATACTATCCAAACTGTGTTAGTATTCCATATAAAAAGTGCTGTAGAATAGTTTTACTATAAACCGAGAAAACGTTTTTTACAATTGTTCTTTTTTGCAAATGTTTCGGACTTTGTACTTTGCCCTCGCGTGACCTTTTCTTCCATTTTCTTACAAACATACAATGCCATATAATAAAAACTTACTGACCTCAACCGTTCGGGCAGTACGGGAAAATATCCAACCTCGGTCTTGCTGTATTGACCTTGCTATCGCTCGGTCAATACAGCAAGACCTCGGTTGGAAATTTTTCCGTACTGCTCTCACTCTCGGTCAGTAAGTTATTATTATTGAATAGCCCATGTACAGCATGTCGCTGATGCTTTTCTCGCGCTATAAGATGTTCTTTTGCCCGCCAAGGGGTTATTTTGCGCATAATTGTATTTCTAAATTTAATATTCTTGATTTTAAAGTCCAAACGCCGCACGAGAAGCAGTTTTCAAAATACGTCTTTGTGGAAGTCCAAATTTATCATAAAACGCAACAAATAATGCATTCTCACTTCTTCCGTAAAAGTATGCCAAGTCAGCGTTTTTAGCCGTTTACTTCCGAACTAGTCTCCCTCGCAGACGTTCTTATAGCTATAACCCAAGTCTGCCGACGCGAGCTGCACATTTCATTCCCTCCGATTGACCAATCACAGCGAACCTTCTATATTTCGGAAAGTTATTTAGGGGCGGAATAAGCAGTACATAAATATTTTTACATTTCGGAAGCAGTCGTCGGTTGAATTTTGGTCAAAATTGCATATAAATTGAATTTAAAGACATTGATACTTGTCCAGGAAATAAACTGCATAATTATCACATTCGAAAATATTAAAGATTTTCGGTTATATAAACAGCAAAATGTTTATCTTTAAGACAACAAAACTTTGAAGGATATAACAGTGGCTTAGAAAGCGAAATATTAGTTTCAAAATAAAATAATTTGGTGCTTGAGCAACCACTTCTGACTTCTGAATGTAAACACAACACAAATATAAAACCCGAGAAACTTTTAAATGCCCCGGGTGAATTTCCAATTGACCATTTGCGTAATAGACTACATTTTTTATCTCAACAAAAATTTCATCACAGCTTGAAAGAGCATCACAAAATTAGTAATATTCCAAAGTTTTGTTGCGAAATGTTGTAAAATGCGGAAAATCACACCTGGCATTTTTGCACACAAAATTGCACTTTTGAAATGTCCCAATTTTTTTCGTTGCCGCGCGGGAACAAATTTGATTAGTGAAAAATTCCTCAAATTCCTCGGACTTTTCCTTTCACGGCATCCTCGTCCCCAGGCCCAAGCTCGGGCGGCCCTCAGTGGACCTGGTTCAGGCTGTTGAGCAGTTGGTTGTGATTGGCTCTTTTGCTTTAAAGGAATGTTGCGGGCGGGAAGGAAATGCGGGTTAACAATAAACAATGGCTGGCGCGAAGAGTGGCAATTATTAGTAAGCTGGTATTAAATTTATGGTAGAAATCAGATATTTACATGTAAATGTTTGCTTAAACTATGATATGGACAAATTCAAGACTGCTGGGAACCAACTACATGGATATTTGAAGGATTAAATACATTTGAAATGAATTGAATGATAAAGTTTAAGACTCGGATATCAGTCACATTCACGACTATGGAAATTATATATATTTGTGTACGCAACATATACAAGATTATTGTGTAAATTGTCGCCCTCCACCTATCTGTTTGCAACAACGCAATTTTATACATTGTATTTGACAATTTGAAGAGTCCAAATTAGAATGTAATCTACGAAAATTTAGTATTTATCAAGTACTTGATACACAAAGTTAATGGAAGCATTTTGTTCTGTTTGCACAATCACAATGCACAGTTCACAATGGAACCAGTGTTGTTTGAGAACCACAAGCTCGATTGTTTAATACCCAAGGTGAAAAGCCGGCTTTTCACACAAAATGTTGAAGGGATTTTGTAGATTTAAGTAATTTTATGTGTCAAGTGTGTAAAATGCTTCCTGTGTTCTCCACAAGAAGCATTTTAGCTACCTGTTGCTAAAGTTTGTTTAATTTAACACTGTTACTGAAACATTTTATTAATAAATACACCCTTCTGGAAAGTACATCACTTTGACTGTTCAGGTTTTGCAGTATGACATATCGCACTACAGGAATTCCTATAGGAAATTTATCCTAATTTCCTATAGGAATAGTATTAAATGACACACAATGTTGTTCATCACTCTTAATTTTTTTAATGCAAAAAATATATATATAAATATTAATAAATACTAATATTACAAATTAATATAAATATTTATACGAGAGATTGGTTATACTAAACATTACAGATCAATTATAGTTTTCACTTATGGCTTAACCCATTAAGCGCCAGCGCTCTCCCCTTGACGAGTAAAATCGTCTGGCGTTAGACAGAGTAAAATACTCTGGCGTTAGACAGAGTAAAATACTAAAGTAGGGCGCATCAGGGCGCAATGCAACTCAATGGGTTAATAACAAGTGAAAGTGGGGGGGGGTAGCACTGAAGAGACATGTTTTTCGCAAATATCAATTAAAAAATAAATACCCACCCCTGGCCAAAAACTTTACAAACGGATACAATTCAGTTTCACACATGTCCTTTACCACTTCTGTGACATGAGTTTGATAACAGCTTGTGCTATTGTCTGTAGTCTAAAGTTTCATTTTGTCTGGACATGTACTTTCTTTGGAGACACCTTTGCCTTCCAACAAATGGGGAAATTATCAAAATATAGTGACTCTGATTGATTCACATATTGTATTGACATGACTGTTGACATCTTGCCATATTTGACATATTGATGACTGTTGCCTCTCAGTATCACCCAACCCATGAGTTGTTTTCATTTTCATTTCCTCAACCTTTTACTCACTCAGAATTTTGTTTGCCCAACCCTTTTCTCTTCGGTACCACCCCCCCCCCCGCCATAAATAAGTAAAAAATAAAAAGTGCACACTAGGGCACATTGCGGCTCAATGGGTTAACTACAGACATTGGCAGATTTTTTGGTTAACCCATTAATTTAAGCTACAGAGCTTTGCATGCTATCCCCATTGACTAGTTAAATCGTCTATTGTTAGACAAGTAAAAAAATAAGTACGGCACACTCAGGGACGTACACAACCGGGGGGGCAGGGGCAACTCCCCCCCCCCCCAGAGTAAACTATATTTACGATTTTTAGAATGTCATTGTTAATTATTCTTTGGATATTTGGGACTTTTTTCGGCATATAGGCCTTACTGCCCCTCCGGTGAAAA